ATATCTAGTAGTGTACATGCAATCACATATCACATGAGCAATCATACTAAATTATTATGGACCATAACCTAATGTAATCAAGCCTAAGCTAGTGGGTCCAATCACTCACATCATGATCTATGTGTGCTTCAGCATATTTTTATACCATATGATCATGCATCTCATTCTCGTCGGTTCCGTCGACAACTTGGTGCATCTCCATGTGTCGCGATCGTCCGTCTCAGCCTCGTGGTTCCCGCTATCGCCTCCACACTCCCAATACTACTCATCATGTAATAACAACATAATCACAAGCACATAGGCCCTACCCGTCAAAGTAGTGCTTGCAAGTGCCCAAAAATCCCCTTACGATGCTTGCTATGTTGCGGTTGCCGACACCCCATCGACGATCGCCCCTACCCGTCAAAGTAGTGCTTGCAAGTGCCGCTGTGGGTGAGCGCCACCCACAAGCACTGTGCCTGCGGGTGCCGCCATTACGGTCGCCGCTGTAGGTGACCTACATACGGGCGCACAGCCCGCAGGTGTCGCCTACTACAGGCAGGCCGTCGGCTATAAGCCGCCGGCTTTAAGCCACAAGCTACAACCCGTCAATCGCTAGCACGTAGATAGCTAAGGCTGCAAGCAGCCTTTGGCCACTCTGCATGGGCAACAACAGTTGCTATCTTTTCTCGCCTTTGCGTTAATAATTTTAATGTCAAAAGCCTTTCTAAAACACATTAAGAATTCATTAAGAATTTAAATAAATTCATTAGCCTTTCTAAAACATGTCAAAAGTCTTTCTCCCCAAATGAGATTATTTTTTAGTTTTAAAATAAATTAATTAAGAATTATCATAATATTAGTGGCTCATTATAATTTTATGTGGATGTAAATGTAAATTTTTTAAATATAAATATAGTTAAAAAATATATGAATTAACCTAAATGATTGGTAGATAAAAGAAAAGTTAGGCTTGTAAATTTAAGAAATATATTTATGATTATAAATAAACTTTTAAATAATAGTATATAAGTTTCATGATATCATTACTTTCTTTAGATTTAAGAAAAATACTATTGATCAATATTTAAATCTAAAAATAAGTAGGACAAAACTTATTATATTGATCCTAGATAGTGGTGATACTGATTTATTGTATGAAACCAAGATATTTCTTACTAGAAATTTTAAGATGATTGATATGATTAAGAAAATTTATTTTATTAACATAGAGATATTTATGTATATATATTAATAATTATTAAGACTATCTTAGAAATTATTTAAATGATTTATTAATCGAGTCTCGGAGAGGTTTAGTATATATATTTATTCAACAATTGACAAAGATGTATTATTTAATCAAGGCTAATGTTTTTTAAAATTGACTTAGAAAAGAATTAAAGAAAAAACAAATGAAAGAAAACTCTTTACATATGCATAGTCAAAAGTATACTATATGCTCAAGTCTGACCAAATATTAATTTTATAATTGAAATATTTGATAGATATTAGAGTTATCCAAAAATAAAATATTGAAAGATTGTAAAAAAAATAATAAATTATTTGAAAGGGATAAAGGATTATATGCTAACATATAAGTTATCAAGTAGGAATTTCACTTTACATTTTATATTTATATTAAATGTAGGGATAATTTATAAAAAATATAAATTAATAATAGAAGTTAATTTTATGGTATATTTTGAAACCATTAATTAAACTTTATAACTATGAAATTTTATCTAAGGACTTGGTGTGGTCAGATTCAATTACCAAATTATTGAATATTTGTAAATACTTTGATAGCTTGATAGTTTTAATATACATCACTTGATGATTAGAGAAATAGTACAAAAATAATTAATACACATTAAGAATATGAGTTTTAATGTATTGATTATTGATATATTTATTAAGGCCATATAGCCTAAAATATTTGAAATAACATATTATTGTGATTAGATTTGTGAGCAACTTATAAAAAATGTGATGATATATACTGGACATTATAATAAATATTTTATTTACATAATTTAAGTTTTTTCTTTTATTAACTTATTCACATTTATGTATATACATATTATGATTGAATTTGATTATAGGATTATCTTGACAAGATAAATTACATGTATTGTTTTATATTGTAATAGGAAGAGCTAATAGTATTGTAGTACATATAAAATTATATGACATTGATGAGATATAATCACTATGACTCCTATTGGTAATCAGACTTAATGTTATATTATTATATTTATTAGACTTATTAGCCTATTTTATAAAATTCATACATGCATATAAAATATTTTTTTAGTTTTAGAATCTAATTAAGTAAAATTAATTTTAAATAACCTTTTATTTTATTTGTTATAATTTTGAATTCTTTTATGTCTTACTAATTAGTGGATAAAGCGAGAGAATATTGGATTATATGATTATATTTAATTAAGTAAGATATATTATAAAAATGAATGGATTAAGATTATAGTTATCGACTTATATAAAGAAAGTCAAATCATGATAGAATTTCTTAGGAGATGACGTTGATAGGATTGATTCTCTTAATAATTTATCAGACACCCTTTGTTTTTGTCTATAAATATACAGAACCTCTTAGAGACGGTAACATTCTCTCATCTTCCTTTGGTCTTTATTCCATCGGTTATAGTGGTCAAAGGAGAAGACAAGTCTGTTTCTCCTTATAGATCGATATTGTTGCTTTCTTCGGATTGGACGACACTACACTTTTAGATTAGATAAAGGTATTCTGAATAATATTAAAAGATATACAATTTTTGTCTTGATTTATTATTATTTTATTTTAATTTTATCAAGTATGTTTATAATGTATAAGCTTACATTCTTTTTCAAATTTGAGTAGATGCAGTTTCCTGAATGTTTATCTCTTTCTAACAACAACTGTAGACATCCAATGATCAAGTTTAGTTAGTTGTGCAATATTATAATGTACCTTTATGATGGGTGATTAGCTCTTGGAACAACTTGGTTAAGCGATCACGATAGAAAAAACGATATACATAGATGCCTGATAGAAAGTATACAAGTCCATTTAATTTCCTATTCCCATCAGAATTATGTTTACGAATGGAATACGTCACTGTACGCTCTGATTTGATTCCATGTTTGACATGAACGATGGTACGTTGATATGTGGGATTAGAGATTCCATACTTGACATCGATGATGGTTATGATGATAAGATGGTCCTTAGGTTTTGTCATGTTGATCCCATTCCATTCTAATGCTCAGCATTGGGAGGCAATAAGCATGTTGTAGGAATTGATATTTCATGCTCAAATTCGATCATATCATAGAATCGAGATGTTTCATATTTAGAGTAGGCCACACCATGAAGTCGGAATATTTCATGATAAGTTTCATCCACGTGTGGAATTGGAGGCTCTTCTTGTCCAAATTCAATTGCATCGTAGAGTCAAGATGGTGATCATGTAATAGACAAAATGAATTGACAACGAGTTCAGCATGTACATTTTATTTAGCACCATCAAATTTCTCAATCGACAACTACTATTGTTCGGATTGAATAACCTCATAGAAGACCATAATTACACTATACGTATACAATCGCACATTAACAAAAATATTTGCAACGATCAGGTTTTGTTTAGAGATAAATATTTTAGGCTTTACATACTTTGTACAAGTTATCAGCAAATAGAAATCAAGTTTATAGTTATTCTTGGTGCTAAAAATACTTTGGTTTATTCGCTCCACAAGCCGAAATATATGGTCGTCATATCTTTACTTTTGTGTTCCGTGCGTTGAAGTTTGCATGAGAAAGCCGAAATCACAGACATTAATTGATACGAACGTGCGACATGATCTCCTGTAGCCAAAGAACGGTTTTCATTTTGGTGTCATAAATAGCAAATATGAAATCTTATCCGATTCATTTAGTCTTCTTAAACCTGAAAACAAGAATGACAGAGAGAAGTCTCTCCGATTCTTTACCATTTATGTGGATCACGAGATCTCGGCAGTCATATCCAATAATTAATTTCTTTCTAGCAAATCATATGTCCGACTCATTTGCCGATTAGAAGCCATATGTCCAAACATTTAGTTCTCACTCACCTGCATGCATTCTTTGTCTATAAAGGGATACAATTTATGTGGATTACGAGATTTCGGCAGTTTTGTCCAATAATAAATTTCTCTCTAGGAAATCATGTCCGGCTCATTTGCCAATTAGAAGCCATATATATCTCCAAACATTACGTTATCCCTCACCAGAATGCATTCTTTGTCTATAAAGGCACTCATCTTTAACAAGGTGTGCAATTAGAAGCCCTCTTCACTCACCACTCTCTCTCCTCCTACGCAGAATAGAGGCCACGAGGAAGATGGGGAAGGTGTCGAAATCCCGCATTCCTCTTCTTCTTTTGCTGCTCGCCTTCTGTTTCTTCTGCTTCAATAGAGTTGCGGCGGACAAACCGAACTTTGCCTGCGACCTGGTGACCAACCCCGGCTTGTCGGCGTTCGGGTTCTGCAACACGTCATGGACCGTGGATGCCAGAGCGCGGGACTTGGTGCAGCGGCTCACGCTGGAGGAGAAGATCGGGTTCCTGGGCCACGTGACGGCCGCGGTGGTCCGGCTCGGGATCCCGAGCTACAACTGGTGGTCTGAGGCGCTGCACGGTGTCTCCTTCGTCGGCGGTGGGTCCAGATTCTCGGACCTGATCCCGGGAGCTACTAGTTTTCCTCAGGTCATCCTCACCGCTGCCTCCTTCAACGTGTCTCTGTTTCGGACCATCGGGAAGGTGAGCTTTCGACTCTGCTACGTTGTTCTACTTCGGACCTGTATTCCATTCTCTTACTTCGTTGGTTGGTGTCGGTTGTTGGGCCTGGAGACGAGTGTAGTTCTTACTTTAGATACTCAAACCATCATAGACAAAGGCAAAAGATCAAACACTACTTAGATCGATAGCTTTTGAATGAATCAACCCCGTCTCTGTGGCTGCTTACAGACGGTGTCGACTGAAGCGAGGGCGATGCACAACGTGGGTCACGCAGGACTCACCTTCTGGAGTCCAAACATCAACGTTTTCCGCGACCCACGGTGGGGGAGAGGACAGGAGACGCCTGGCGAGGATCCTTTGCTTGGAGGCAAGTACGCTGTTGGATTTGTGCAGGGCCTGCAAGACAATGTTGATGATCCTGTGAAGCTCAAGGTCGCCGCTTGCTGCAAGCATTACACTGCTTACGATATCGACAACTGGAAAGGAGTTCAGCGTTACACCTTCAATGCTGTGGTAAAAGTTCATCCGATACACAACATGCATGCAATTGCAGTCCAGAAAGGCTAGATTCACATGGATTTTTAAGTGATCTTACTGATGCCTTCCACCCCTTCTTTGATCGTTCAACCAGGTTACAGAGCAGGACATGGCAGACACATTCCAACCACCGTTCAAGAGCTGTGTGTCGAATGGAGTGGCCTGTGCCATGTGCTCCTACAACCAGGTGAATGGAGTTCCCTCTTGTGCTGACGGAGGCCTCCTCGCGGGAGTCATCAGAGGAGACTGGAAACTCAATGGGTCACTCTCATTCCTTCTCTCCTGATAACATTTGCCATAAATATAGTCGTTACCATAAGAATAGACATACACAAATCAAATTATGCGAATTTTCTTCGGTTCTTCAATTAATACGCCCATACATAAAATGTCTGGATTTGTTCATCGTACCATCCTAGTGCATCCATAATCATCAGCCTTATCCATGTGACAGAACAATTAGGTGCAAACCTAGATTGCAATGTTCTACTGTAGCAATGGATAATAGCTATCTAAAGCTTCTTACCATGGATCATTAATTGCACCTGCAGTTACATTGTTTCTGATTGCGATTCAGTGTCTGTGATCTACAATAATCAGAAGTACACTAAAACACCTGAGGACGCTGCAGCTATAACCATTAAAGCCGGTACGTCCTCCTCCGAGGCTAATGGGGACTAATTTTATGAGCCCATCAATATAAGATTTTGTGGTTTACCAATAACATGTCGCAGGGCTTGACCTCGACTGCGGATCTTTCTTGCCAAGCCACACGTTGGCGGCCGTCCAGGGCGGCAAGGTGACGGAGGCCCAAGTGGACAACGCAATAACCAACAGCTTCGTGGTCTTGATGCGTCTCGGCTTCTTCGATGGAGATCCTAGGAATCTCGCCCCCTACGGCAAACTCGGCCCGCAGGACGTGTGCACGCCGGAGAACCAGGAGCTCGCTCGTGACGCAGCTCGTCAAGGCATTGTTCTCCTCAAGAACTTCGATGATGCTCTTCCCCTCAAAGCCTCTGCCATCAAGTCAGTGGCTGTCATCGGCCCAAACGCTAATGCCACCAGGACCATGATCGGAAATTACGAAGGTGCGTAGGAACTTCGATGTGTGATTCTTGCCATATATGTTGAAGGATTCGTTAACGTCGTACATAACAGGTGTCCCATGCAATTACACGAGCCCTCTCCAGGGGCTATCAGCTGTCGTCACCACTATATACGAGCCAGGCTGCGCCACCATCCATTGTAGCCCGGATGACCTCCACCTGGATGGGGCCAAGATCGCAGCAGCGCGGGCAGACGCCACAGTCATCGTCGTCGGCGGTGACTTGTCTGTGGAGGCAGAGGGCTTGGACCGGGAGAGCCTGCTATACCCAGGCGAACAGGGGACGCTCATTACCGAGGTAGCGAAGGTGGCCAAGGGGCCGGTGATCCTCGTGATCATGTCGGGAGGTCCTTTCCAGATCAAACAAGACAAAGTTAACGTGAACATCTCAAGCATCCTCTGGGCGGGTTACCCTGGTGAGGCGGGCGGTGCTGCCCTAGCTGATATCATCTTTGGACGGTACAACCCGAGTAAGTAAAACCCAGCAAGCTTAATTGCTCTTCCAAAACCTTGACCCTTGTCATGCATGCATGGCCACTGAAACCTTCTCATGCACAGGTGGTAGGACACCTTTTACTTGGTACGATCAAGAATACGTCGAACAAGTTCCGATGACGGATATGCGCATGAGGCCAGATCCAGCTTCCAATTACCCCGGCCGCACGTACCGTTTCTACACCGGCAACCCCACTTACGCGTTCGGCTACGGGCTGAGCTACACACGGTACGATCACAACCTAGTCCAAGCTCCCGAGAAGTTGTCAATCACCCTCGAAGAAGGGCATCCATGCTACTCCGAGGGATGCAACTCCCTGGACCTCGCCGGGAGTGCTCACTGCTCGGGCTTGCAGTTTGATGTCCACTTAAAGGTGCAGAACTCCGGTGGCATGGCTGGGAGCCACACTGTGCTCCTGTTCAACACCCCTCCTGCCGTTCATAATGCGCCGAGGAAGCAGTTGGTGGGGTTCGAGAAGGTGTTCTTGGAGCCCAACGAGTCGAAGAATGTGGCGTTCCAAGTTGATGCTTGTAGGGATTTGAGTGTGGCGGATGAGTCTGGGAATTGGAAGGTGCCGTTGGGATCTCATGTCCTTCATGTTGGTGACGTGACGCACACGTTGACTTTGAGCATTTAGGATAGGAGAGCTTAGATATGCATTGTCTCGAGTCAATAACATGTTGTCGGAATTAAACGCGGCTGTTGCCATTTATTTTTAGCTCATCAATAAAGCTTTACAACATCGGTATCTTTTTCACAAATCATATATAGGTCCAACGATCAGCAATGTAAATCCGATGATTTACAAGTCGATGACCCTCCACCATAAGCCAAGATACAAGTCATAATAATCATCAATTTGGTTATATCGAGATCCTAGTTTGATAGCTTTCTTCCATAAGGCAAAATATGATCCACAACTAATTTAGCTTGAGATCATCATTGTTGGTGAAGCTCTTTCACAATGTATATAAAGCCCGAGAACGTCATTGGTTATTACCCTACAAAAGCCAAAATCATGGAAGTTTTAGAAACCTAGCGAAAACACGAGATTTTCTAAGTATATGATCAATTACCTCGTTCCTTGAAATATAGACAACAATTGTCTTTTTCAAAAACTATAAGCAAGATTGAGAATCAACAAACAGGATGGGAACGTTTTAGTGTTGATGTCAAACATGGGAATCATTTCAAGACATGATAAGTGTTTTGTTGACATCTCAATACTATATTTTCTTCACTACTAAATAATTTTCTATAAATTTTATTAATAAATATAGAGAGATGTGCCATATTGAAAATATTCATGTGTAAAGAAATGGATGGAAAGGGTATATTTCCATATCACTAATGATTAAAAGGGTTGAATTACATAGATTAGGTTTGACCGATGATTTAAATGTTTAAGTGTCTGAGTTGAAACTTATGCTTTCTTACTTTTTATATGTAATTTTAAGAAAATTATACCGTGTGGGATAAACAATAGAACGCATTTATCTGTTTTTTTTTTTTCCTAATACAACGATGTGTGGCCCGAGAACAAAACGCAGTGTCTCCATGCACGTAACTCTCTTCCTCTTCACTCTTTAAGAAATCGGCAAACCAACTCGCTGATATCTACACATAACTAGTGAACATCCAATACCACCGAGATCAAAAAGAATGTGGCCAGAGCAAAAGAGTTACTGCAGCCGGTGGAGCCTCCGATGGCCTTGCACCGTCCTTGATGCAAGGAAACAGGAGATAGAATCCTAGCAAGAGGAGGACAGTGGCACGTTAACACCGCTGTCGAGAGCTTCCCCATGTCGATAAATCCTAGCTTGATCCGAAGACGACGGTCGCCCCCTCCGGCTGCCGACTTGGTCCCTCCCCGCATGGGTCGTCCATGCTACTACGTGCATGCCGTCACGACGAAGTACGTACAGCGACCGACACCCTGTGGGTTTCTATGTCGTATGGATACTGATTCGTGCAGATGGAGAAGATGATCTTGCAAGTCCCTCGGTCCCCAAATTATCCGGCATCCCTGTCCACTGTCGTAGATCTTACCACCCTTGACAGCCTATACCGACAACTATGAACATGGTAGTTAGATTTAGGTCTTATATCCACGTGTATCGGGTCCCGACCACTCATTAACACGTAGACAAAGTTGGACAAACATAAATGACTAGATCCTGTCGTATCCGTCGGCTTAACCTTTTAGGCGATATGACAGTGACGTGCTCATCTACATCTTTTAGGGAGAATGATACATTGTTTATATACGTGTTCATGGCAAAAAGGTATCAGTATCAAATGATTCATCTCCCGTGATAACTCAAGTATATATGCTAATCCAGCGAGACATGCATGAACAGGAGTCTAAGAAGGCACCGGTGATGGAAATTGCAAGAACAGTGAGACCATCTATACTGAGAGAACAGATGCTAATGCACATCTGTGGTGCAAATCCCGACTTTGATAGGGCATTTTTCTAACAGCTCTCAGGAGGAAGAGGACCACCAGATCCCACGGTGGTCCATATGGAAAGATTTCGTAACAGTATGCCACGTATATCTATCCATCTCCACTGCCAGAATTCAGTGGGGTCAAATGCACTTGACAGGACTGTGGCTTCTGCATCATGATCCCAACCCTAACATTACACGGTTTGGAGCTTCCTGAGCAATCTTTCATGGAGCTTAGCTGTGACTCTCTGCATGATCCTATTCATCCACGCAAAAATGGATTGTTGTTAAACATGAGAAATCAATTTCTGAATCATTGATGTCAACATACCTGGCGCTGCTGAGGCACCTGTCGACAGGGAAGACTATGATCAACCTTGAGGTTACGTTGTCTCCACCTACTTTGCACTGTCTCATGTTAGGTCGGAAGTGCTCATTTGGTATGGATTTCTCGTGAAATGCGAGGCCATTAGTCAAATCATTCTGAAATCGATCCAAAAATTTCCGCCATCCGATAAACCCTTCACAAAATTTCTCAAGAATTGGTGAAAAGCCAATTGCTCATTATCAGAAAAATGCATTTGGTATGTTATTGTTATCCACTTGTGTCAATATTCATGCATTTCACAATCACAGGTTTTGAGGACATTTAGCGTAAAACTAGTATCATGCATTGATGTCTGGTACTGACACCAACCTTTGTTGTGATCAATGTGAGACCAGTTCTTATTTAGTAGCTACCACATGAGTTCTCGGTGAGCTTATTTCCTGCCTATAGACACGGATGCGTGTCCCCGGAATTCCTTTATGGTTGAAAAGGTCTGCCCACCGAATACTACAATATCAGATTCCTAGGCTATGATTGGAACTTAATACATTAAACTCACATAATATGAAGACGATCATGTCGTCGAAGGCTGTAATGGTACACATCAGTAACCATCGCCTTAAAGGTCCTCAACTCTTTGTGATGCTAAATTATCGCCACTATCAACGAAAACCAAGTAGTACAGATATTGTATTTGTTGGCAGAGAGAGGAGAATAAAGGAAAAACAAATTTTAAAGATACAATAAATAAATAAATAAATAAATAATATCAAAAAAGTTGATATAGGATTAACGACACTTTCCATCAACATCTACCGTTAAAATCAAGTTCTTCACTTTTTTCTCATCATGCATGTCAAAAAAACATTGCAACAATTGTAAATGCATCTGAGGCCGATTCATGGGCTGATGGTTACAATTTATTGCAGCAGGTGCTTGAGGTAATTGCAGGTATCCTATTTGTAGATGAGGCCATAAATCTGTAGCTAATTAGCCAAAATATATGTTCATATATGTTCATCATTCGAGCATGACATGTTTCTAGATAATAGGAAACATAAGGCTGAAGGTTGGCATAGGAACCACTAAAAGATCTGTAAACTATAACTGATCCACAAATAAAGAAGAAAAAGAATTGATCCACATGCAACCTTTTCCACGTATCTCAGAAATTATAAACACACTCACACACACACACGCACACACACACACACACACACACTCTCTCTCTCTCTCTCTCTCTCTCTCTCTCTCTCTCTCTCTCTCTCTCTTACGCACACACATACCATCATCATCTGCTGTACTGTAAGCATGGATGCAGTAAACAATTAACACATCCATCAGCGAGACATGACCACATGTGGGTGTCAACAGGGAGGGAGCAGGCCATACATGCGACCAGACCTCGTCCCCTGCAATCACAGCTCAAGGAGGCATGTGTTTGGTTCTCCCTGCTTCATCTATCCATCCTTCTCTACACCAAAAGTCTCTCCATCTTACCTGTCATGCTCCCTCTTGCCGCTTGTAGCTTTCCATTTGTACAGCACATTCCATCTTTTTTTCCTCTAAAAAAGCCCCCAAACGTTCAATCTATATAATGGCATATAAACAATCTGTATAATGATATTAAACGTAGAACTAAAGGGATAAAATGAACAACATATCCGAGCTTTAATTATTTCGACTCAATATCTCCACCTCCTGCGTACATAAAAAGGTAAAAGATGAGTGTGCATTGCATGGTATGGGCATTAAAGCTCATGTTGGCATCACGATCGTATGTGGTAAACAACCCACGTCGTCTATAGGATACAATTGCACAACACTCTCCCCTCGGCTAAACGTCACATGCGAGTGTTGCGGACCTCAGGGCTCAGAGGGAGGACGACCACGTCTATTCTTTGAATCGGTCTTTCTATGTACGTGGGGCAGGGAAGCCCATGTGGGCGCCTACAGGTGGAGCTCATGACATGGTAAGACACTTCAAATGGGCTTGTTCCCTTCCCTGACACCTACTTAATTTCGTAGGACCACAGCCGAAGGGGGGGGGGCTCTTTGATCCCATAGGCTCTTGGTTGCAAAATGTTGGTCACCGATCTTTTCGCTCCTAACCTCACCCAAGAATACCGGACTAGGACAGATCTGAACAGTAGGGTACTCTGCCACGCCTTGAAACGCGCGCCACATGACGGCCTTAATGGGCCGATGGCCCATTACTCCTCCGGCGCCATACCCCGTCACATGGGTGTACTCCAGGTGTCCGTATCTGTCCTCCAGAGGGGGCTCTGCCATGTGGCGCCGCTGTCTACGTCGGGGCAGCGCCAGCCAACCATGTTTAGGTATTCTTGCCGGCTCGACTCTCTTGAGCCGATCTATCCATTAAATTTTCCTGGTCATGCTGGTTGGCAGTCAACGTTCGACCAAACCATGTTTCGTTCTCAGGGTTTACGACAAGGTGAAACATGGAATATGCCCAACTCCAGCTTGTTGATTGATTGATCTCAAAGTAAATAAAAATGCTTGACTGAGATGACTATTTACTCTCCGGACCGAATGACAACAGTACAGTGCACAAGACGGCTGTAAAGACAGGGAATCTTTCGAGGTTAGTGTTGTTAATTGATACAGGGGTTGAGACCTTTACCTTATCGGAGTTAGAAGAAGGTGGTTGATGGTTAATTGCCAACCGGCTGACGTGCGTGAGCAAGAGGTGGTGGGAAAGCAAGATGAGTACGAAGAGGCCATTGGCTATGGACCTCAGCAATTGCAGAGGGACATGTGGGTCTCCACACCTTCTTGATGTTTCTTCAACCTATCTTGCTTTCGACGAGACTCTTCGCCTCTTTCTCACACTAGAGTGTCTCTTGGCCTCTTCCTTTCCCCTTCTCTCTTCCGTCTTCTATAAATCTCTCCCACACTCCACTCTTGGCTCTCTCACACACAAACAAACTACCTCCCTTCCACTTCTGCAAGAGCTAGATAGAGCCGCAAGATGTCCAGCAGAAGGTCCAGGATCTCAGAGGAGGAGATCGCTGAACTCCTCTCCAAGCTCCAATCTCTTCTCCCGGAGGCCCGCCGGCGAGGCACGAGCAGAGTAAGCCCACTGAAGCTGGTCACTCCGTGCTATATATAGATCTCAAACTTCCAACTCGTGTAGTATATATGTAAGTTGAGACCTGCATGCATGCGTTATATATATGCAGGCTTCATCTGCGAAGCTACTGAAAGAGACATGCAACTACATCAAGAGCCTGCACCGGGAGGTCGACGACCTTAGCGACCGCCTCTCGGAGATGATGGCGACCATGGACATGGACAGCGCACAGGCCGAGATTATAAGGAGCCTCTTCCGTCCGTGAGCTGAGATATACAACCCAGGGAAAGATCGACTTACTTACACATGTTTCACGCAGTGTGATCTATCCAAGCTCTCGTAGGACTAAAGATAACACTGGCTATCTTTTAATGTACATTTTCTCTTTGAGGTCTGGCTCGAGTTGCTTCGTCTATAGACAACCAACCGACCACTATGAAAAGCATTCATGTCCTTCATGCAGTTCCTACTCGATTAATTACTGCTATATTTTGTTTATTGCTTCCGTCTCAGCTCGCCGTCATGGCTGTTCTCACTTGCAGTTCTAACCATGAGCATGTGAAATAAAAAAAACTTGTTTTATTCGAGCCTTTATGCTAACAATTTGGTCTCCATTAACTCCCATGCTATGGGATCCATAGACTCCCTGTTCCTCTTTTTCCGGCACACCACCAGATCCATCCAGAAATATACATTATAAGCATCATAAATAACGTCTAGGGATACACCAACCAAAGATCAAAATTTCCAAGACCCATATCCTTCGATAACCTGTCATGTATTGTCCAGTTAAACATCAACCTCTCTTTCGATATAAGTGCACAGAATGATGGGGGAAAAAACCAGCTGCTGTTGACTGAACCACCAAAAAGAAACTAAAAACGATAGATGCACTATAAGATGCTTGTCGGGTGTTTATCAAGCCATTCCTTCCCGATAGAACGACTCATTATACCGAGCCTACTTTACTTTCTTTCTCAAGATCTACGCAGCTAACTCTCCTGTATACATTCGTTACTTGTTGCCGATTTCATTTGATAGTGGCAGGTTTTTACTCGACCAAAGGAGAAGCAGCAAAAGAAAGAGAAAAAGGAGAAGCGCGGAGGGTTGGGTGCTGAAATGGTGTCGTTTCATTGGGCTGCTCTGACGCTAACGTGACAGGACTGTGCGTACCCAACAGTTTTTTTCCAAAGGTGACCGTCCTTGTTCGTGCTATCTGCTCCTCCAAGGCGTCTGTAGCTATGTGAGGAGAGTATGTGTCGGGGGCGCGGTAGGATACTTTGCCTAGGGACAGGGTGGGGCCGCCGTGTCTGATGAGGCGGTCCCCACCGTCCGTTCGGTAGGCCTGCCCCGCTCCCCCAACCTTCTCTCTCCAACGGTTATAGGTTAGTTGATCCGACGGTTGTAACCACGCAGCCAACGATAGAAGACTTGCCAGAAGAAAAAAGAAAAAGACACATAATATAATAAAAAGGGTATTTTATCTAAAAATAAAAATCAATTAAATCAAATTGATAAATACAACAGAATCTAGTCCTTCAACCTTAAAACACTAGAAAAGAAAAGATCACCCATAAGACTATCAAACCTTATCAACTCTCAGCTTCTTGACATGCACAACTAGAGAATGTGCTGCTAAGTTTCTCTTTCTAGGGGTATGGTATAGTTTTACATATTAAAATCTAGAAAGTAAGACATTGATATTGCGTATGCAATTTTTGATATTCCAAGGAGTTGGTTCTTTATTTTTTTAAAATCTTAATTAAGTTGAGATCATCACTTTTTACCTCCAACTTGTTGATGAACAACAATCATTCTTTAGTTGCATGTGCATCATTTGTTGGAGTCGCAGATTCATAGTTGGTTTGCGATCTGCACACAGACAACATCCATTCAGCTTAATCCAATCCTTTCCTAATTTAATCCATTTAATATAAAAATAAGAATATTTGATATCTCGCCCAAAGTACCTATAGACGTGATTCATCGTATATGATATTGCTTTATAAGCAATTGAACTTGGAGAAGTCTTGATACCATTAAATAAGAAGTAATTTCTAACCTTCTAATCAATAAAAAATAATTTTAGCACAAAGAAATTAGATTTGATCATATTATGTTGATGAAAAAAAATATCGTTGACGTCTTAGTCAATCCAACATAGTCCGAACCCATATATATAAGGTTGTTCAATGTACCTCCAAGGTGGAAACACCGAGCTCCCAATATATGAGCTCTCGATGTGTCACCTATACGAAAACTAAGATCGAGAGAGATTTCTTAACTTGGTCTTTCTGACACTTAAATTAGTAATTGTAAGTCTTCGAATACGGACACAAGTGGTTGAAAAATATAAATCCCCTTCTCATTACGTTAAAATATATTTTCATACTTAGTTGTAGGGGACAAAATAGTCTATGGAATATTTCATCAGGGGAGGGGGGGAAATACTCCATGAAATATTTTTTGGACTCTTATTAACGTAGATAGACGAATGAAAGATGACCCGGACTCTATGTGATGGTTATATATCGAATGATGATTAACTGACAATGTATTCCCTATCATTTATCTCCTACCCCGAAAGTATGCTTCGGGATCTCTTTATGCGGGTTGAGTTTTTTCATCTTACGCGCCTCGGGAACATTTTGCCCACGCTTCTACCATGGCAGATCTCCTTACACAAGTCGAGTTATCTTGACTCGAACGCCTCGGGCACATTTTGTTTTGTGCCTCCATCATGGCTTCGAGATCTCTTTATGTGGGTTAAGTTTTTTTGACTTATGCACTTCGGGCATATTTTGCCTATGCTTCCACCATGGCGGATCTCCTTACGTGAGTCAGGTTATCTCAACTTGAACACCTCAGGCACATTTTGCTTTATGCCTTCGTCATGACAGATTTCCTTACGCGAGTTGAGTTTTCTTGACTAATGCATCTTAAGCACATTTTACTTTGTGCCTCCACCATAGTGGATCTCCTCACGCCGGTCAGATTTTCTTAACACATATGCCTTTAGAACATTTTTTCTTATGCCTTCCATCGAAAATGATAAGAGAAAATATCGTTGACATCTTAGTCAACCCGACATGGTCTAAACCTATATACGTAGGATTGTTCGAGATGGAAACACTGAGTTCCCGAGATGCCACATACATGAAGACCAAGGTCGGGTGATGTTTCCTGACCCGATCCCTTTAATGCTCAAGTTAGTAATCCCTAATCTCTTAGTATAGACGCAAGTGGTCGAAAAAGGTAAGCCCCCTTCTCATTATGTTAAGGATGTATTTTTTATACATAGTTGTAAAGGGATTGAATATTCTATGAAATATTTTGTGAAGGGGGAGAATACTTCATGGAATATTCTTTGGACTCTTATCTACATGGGGTAGATGGATGGAAGGTGACTTGGACTCCATGTGATGATTACATATCGGAGGATGATTAGTCGACAATATACTTTCTATCATTTATATCTCCCGAAGGCGTGCTTCAGGCTCTTGTGAGAGGGTCTCGAAGTGTAACATTTAGTTCATCCGATATGATAACATTTGAGATCTCCTCTTGTGGGTCGGGTTTTTCTGACTTATGCACCTTAAACATATTTTACTTTGTGCCTCCATCGTGGCAAATCTCCTTACGCTGGTCGAATTTTCCTAACTGATGTGCCTTGAGCACGTTTTGCTTTATACTTCCACCATGGTAGATCTCCTTATGCAGGTCGAGTTTTCTCAACTCAAACACCTTAGTCATTTTGTTTTGTGCCTTTGTCGGGTTGAGTTTTGATGACTCACGTACCTCGGGCATATTTTACTTTATGCCTCTATCATGGCACGTAGGTCGAGTTTTTTTGACTCACATCTCTCGGGCACATTTTGCTTTATGTCTCTACTATAGTGGATCTTCTTACGCAGGTCAGGTTTTTCTGACTTACGCACCTCAGACACATTTTACTTTGTGCCTCCGTCGTGGCATGTCTCCTTATGTAAGTCACGTATTCCAACTCATGTACCTCGGGCATATTTTGCTTTGTGCCTCCATCATGACAAATCTGCTTACATGGGTCAGGTTTTTCTGACTCATACGTCTCAGACACATTTTATCTTGTGCCTCCACCATGGTGGATTTCTCTTAACATGAATTGAGTTTTCTTGACTCATATACCCCGGACATATTTTGTCATGTGCCTCCGTCGTAGTGGATTTCTCTTAACATGGGGTTGTGTTTTCTTGATTCATATGCCTTAGACACATTTGACATTGTTTCTCCTTATACTGGTCGGGTTTTCCCATCTTATCACCTCGAGCATATTTTGCTTATACCTCTGCCATAGCGGATCTCCTTATGTGGGTCGGGTTTTCTCGACTTATGCACTTTGGGTACATTTTGATTTGTACCTTTATCATGACAGATCTCTTTACGTGGGTCAGAATTTCTCAACTCATGCACCTCATGCACATTTTGTTTTGTGCCTCTACCATGGTGGATCTCCTTATGTGGGTCAAGTTTTTTTGACTTGTGCATCTTGAGCACATTTTATTTTTGTACTTATGCCATGACAGATCTTCCTACACGGGTCAGGTTTTCTTGACTCATGTGCTTTTGATATATTCTGTTTTGTGCCTCCAACATGGTGGATCGCTTTACATGGGATGAGTTTTTTTGACTCGTGCATGCGCCTCGAACATATTTTGATTTATGCCTCTATTGTGATAGATTTCCTTATATGGGTTAGGTTTTCTTGACTCGTATACCTTAAACATATTTTGTTTTGTATCTCTACCATGACGGATCTCCTTATGTGGGTTGGGCTTTTTTTACTCATGAACCTTGGGCACATTTTGCTTTATGCCTCCATTGTGGCAAATCTCCTTAAGTGGGTCAAGTTTCCTTGACACTTACTCTTCATACACATTTTATCTTATGCCTCCAACCATGGTAGGTTTATTCTTATGATGGTCTATTTTTCCAACACATGTGCCTTTGACATATTTTATCTTGTGACTCCCGCTGTGATGTATTTCTTCTTACAAAAGTCCAGTTTTCTCAACACGTACACTTCGGGCATATTTCATCTGGTGTTTCCCACTATGATGAGTTTCTTCTTACGCGGGTCATTCGTACCTTCTTCGCTTTGGTGACCTCGAGGTCAAGTTAGATGACAATCGCTCCTACTTCAGCCTCTTTCATGACTCCTCACACTTACTAAAATATATTATCTCGATAGCAATATATTGATTAACCATCTAAAGTACCTCTAATACTATCGTCGATGACATTTCCACCAATAACCAGAAAAAATGAGAGGGCTTGAGCTCCATCGTAAAGGTCTGTATTATGAGCAATGGATGGGAATCCACTACATCTCAAATTTCATTAGTGAACTAAGTGACGAATTCTACAAGCATTTTCTTCTCCCCTTGCCAGAGAGTTTGAGAAGAATTGCTACCACTAGTCTCAAGTGCACACTCTCAAGTAAGTGAAGTTCAAGCTCTCTCATAAGCTAGTCAAAAGAACCAATAGAAAGCGACTATAGGTGGGCATACCATTCTCATATTGAGCATCTTAACATGGTTAGGAAGGTACATCATATCAGGGCATTCGAAGTGTCATATAATGATATTTAGGCACCAAAAGCTCCGATGTGCTCCATCGGGTTGACATTGTCATTGAATGCCTCCAACAATAGGAGGCAAAAGTTTGCTAGAATCGATTCTTTTTAGATTTTCTAGGTGAATGACGATGACCCGAGGTGGGGTCAACTAATACTTCGCCTTTAGTTTATTGAAACTCTTGTTGTATCTCTTCCAAACTTCGATCTATATATTGTAATTGAATTCGTAGGGAATCCTATGTCAAATTCACCAATTAAGTCTTGGATTCATTTAGGTTAGAGTGATTGTGTGATCCACTAAATTCTACGATTGAGGAACGAAGTGCCCCCTCGATTGACGATTCGACGGGTCTCAAGTGCTTCTATGATCTCAGCACCACATCGAGTGGGGGAACCTTGTTAGGTGTTGACACTAGTGGTGGCTAAGTTGGTGACCGCGATTGAGCTGATGGTGTCGCCTTTTGGGCTAATTGGGGAAAAAGTGGAATGACGACATATATTATGCCCATTAGCATTTGCACCTGTTGAGTGAGGTTCAAGAACACCTTAACAAGGACGACCAGGTGGCTCGAGATCGCCCCTGGGGGTGAGAGGCCCGAGTCATCGAATAGATACCAATATCGTGTCGACGTTTGTACTAAGGTGGATGCATCCATATACGGAAAGAATGATCATTACCCACTCGAGTAAAAGTAATGTGGGTCAAGGATAAGGCCTCATGAGCATTCGTGAACGTTCCTATAACATTGGGCCCTTCTTCTAGTACTAAAATGATGAGAGAAAATATCGTTAATGTTTTGATTAGCCCAATATGGTCCATACCATTATGCATAGAATTGTTTAAGATAAAAAGATCGAGCTCCCGAGGTGCCGTGCCACATGCATAAAGACTAAGGTTTAGGGATGTTTCCCGGTCCAATCCCTTTGACGCTCAAGTTAGTTGTCAGGACCCGAGCTTGATGAGTTAACTGACCTATCAAGGTCATTTGACCTAAACCATAAGTCAAAATGCTTAGTTTAAAGTTGATAGTCATATACTCGTCGAATCCTTATAAGCCAATCTTAGTCTTGCATTCTTCTAATATGAGATTAAGGCAAACCTCTAGTTTTATTGATCTTTTGTTATATAAAATCTTTAATGATGTTTTCTAGGTTTATGATAGTCTTTTTAGGCATTCATAACACATTAATCACCCAATTATTTATTTTTGGATTAAGGTTCATTTTAACCCTTGTGGCTTTGGTCATAGATCACTTAAATCCATATGATATACTCGTATCTAAAATAACCCCTATATTTTTAAAAATATAGTATATAAGTCTCTCCCGTCAAGTCTAAATTAACAAACGTTAGAGTCTACTTATGTGGCATGCTGACTCATAATAAATTATTAATATAATGATATGTATAATTTAAATTTTAAAAAAGGTTCCATTTTAGCTCTTATGATTTTGTTTATGTCTAAAATAACCCTTATATTTTTAAAAACATAGTATATAAGCCCCTCCCGTCAAGTTTGAGTTGATATACGTTAGAGTCTGTTTATGTGGCATGTTGACTCATAATAAATCATTAATATAATGACATGTGTAATTTAAGATTTTTATAAAAAAATATATCTTATCGAGGAAGGGGAAGCGACGGAGGCCGTAACGACTAATGAAGGCGAAGAGGTAGAGGTCAAAGGTGGAGGTGAGGGAGTTGAACCACCACGTTATAGGTGTGATGGGTGGGGGAATTGGAGAGGACGAAGTGGGAGGTGGTGGGGACGTAGATATCTAAGAAGAGGAAGAGGGGCTAGGAGACCATTGCATGCCTAGTGTTGGACTGGTCGATGCACATCTACTTGAGGTAGGACTGGAAGCTCCTGAGCTTATTGTCAAAGCGGGAGAGGCTGTGTACATACGACACCCTACTAAGCAACAGCAGTTCGATGTTGCTGTTGGTGGTCGCTTCCACGATGATGCTTCCTCCAATCATTGATGGTAATCTTAATTTTTTTAATTTAAATTATATATATTATTATATTAATAGTTTATTATAAGTCAACATGCCACGTAAATAGACTTTAACATTTGTTAACTCGAAGTTGACAAAAGGGGCTTATATGTTATGTTTTTTAACATATAGAGATTATTTTAGACACGAGCAAAACCATAAGGGATTAAATGATCCATGACCAAAATCACAAGAGCTAAAATGAATTTTTTTTAATTTAAATTATATATATCATTATATTAATAGTTTAGTATGAATTAATATATTATGTAAGTAGACTTTAACATCTATTCACTCAGACTTGAGAAAAAAGGTTTATAAGCTATAATTTTTAAAATATATAGATTATTTTAAATATGAGTAAATGATAAGGAATTAACTGATCCATAGTCAAAACCAAGAAAATAATTTATTTTTATTATTTTAACAAAAATATTCCTCTACCATCACTCAGCTCGATACACCACAGTAGCGATAATACATCGATGATCCAAGGCACGGTGGTGGCGAATGAGTAATATTACAAGAGTGATGAAACAGAGGTATTAAAAATCAATAAATTCACCAATAAATTTTTTTTAAGGTAAAATATTCCTATAAAATTACGAGTACGAAAAATAAGTCTATTTCCGGATCCATCTATTCATATCCAATGAAAGCCTACACGTAGAGGCGGACGGTAAAGCAGGATAGTACGTTGTTCAATATAAAAGAAAAAGGAGTTACAGGGAAAGTGTTAGATGTACTGTTTATATATGTGGCCAAACATGTAAAGTTAGACCAAAGGAATGGCCCAACGATAATGCAATAGACTTGCCTACCCCCTGCTTGACTTGCCTTGGGTCATCGCAAAAGATCTTCATCACTTCCTTCCATTCCATGTGTACCCATAATTCAATAGACTGACTTTTACCGTCTCCAGCATTTTTGGGAATGGAAATAAAATATGTGAGAAATTTTAGCCTTAAGACATATAGAGTTATATACAGTGTCTGAATACAATGCATTATCATATAATCCTACAGAACAAAATATTATTTCCAATAATTTGCACAATATTAATCATTATCATCCCGTTAACTGAAGATAGAATAGCAGGTATCAATTTGAGTCGACATAACAGATTAAGGAAGAAGGATATCAGCAAATTCATCATTAGAAAATGCAGACAAAAGCTAGAGAGTTCCCCACTAGATATAATGATTAACAAAATCACCACCCATATATAACAAGCAAACTCAACAAATTAATATCAATTGCCATCTTATTCATCACTATCTCCAAGGTCTTCTCTTGCTTTGTCTAATTCCTTCCAATTAACTTGTTGATATCCTTGGTAAAAGTCTTGCTCGCTCTTGATTTCGTGATCTGTTGTATAAAATCATGCGGATATTTGTTGTGTCGCCCTGAGTAGAGTCAAAATCTACCAGCCAAATTATTGATTCGAGATTCTACTAGCCAAAAGTTGAGTCAAATTGTTACTATTGATACACTATAACTCCAGTGAATATTCTACACTCATCACCTGGTCTTGGTTTTCCCTTCTACATTGGCAGCATGTTGTTTCATCCATGTTCTTCAACAAACAGTATATCTAGAAGATCATCATACCTCAATATCATCACATATATGAAATTCGTGTTACCTCCTTCAATAGGCTTAATTTCCTGTGCAACTAAGAGGAAATCTCCTTGTCTTCATTCTTCCATTCAATGCCAGTGCCAGCACATCATATTCTTCCACAAACCAGAGCTCAGACATGGTCGCCTGAAAGGATAAAGTTAATCAGCACAAACATGCAAAGGGCAAAGGATGTGATTCACTAGATAGGAGACACATAATGATCAGAATAGGATAACTCAGTGGCCAATGATATCAAGACATAAAAAGGACAACCAGCTGATGTAAGTAGCAGACTACAAATTCAGCTCATTAAAGTAATTGTCCAGATATATGCAAGATACTACCTCAAAACCTTGAAGCTTCTTGTTAAGCTGCGAAACAAGCTCATGAAACAACTGGAGTTGATTAGAAGGTGTTTCCAGCTTCTACAGGAAAAGGATAGCACAGTGAGTCATCAGGCTGGAGCATTTACATAAATATAACTTGTAGCAATGACATCACAACATTAGGGATGTTTTCTTATTTTCTAATTTTAGTCCAATCCTGTAGCTCATGACCAATCTTTGGTTTCTTGTTGTAGCACCAACCAGATATCAACTTTAGCTATCATACAAGGATATGCTCACATTAAACTGGAATTAGAAGGTTGTGGAGAATGACGACAACAACAACAAGCATCCATAAGATCCAACAAAAGCCATCAGTCAAGCTAAATACAATTTCAAAATCAATTTGTTATGTTACCTCCAATAAGATTTTAGGACGTCCAAGAAGTCTTGCAAATGAAGTATGAAGTAGAACGGAATCATACTGTACAAAAGAAAGAGAATTTCAGAAGAATGGTATGTCTCAATGCAACAGATCAACAACAAGAATAATAATAATAATAATAAGAGCTTTCATATACTTTACAAATTCCGAAAATAGCATGTTTACCATTATAGCATATATCTCTGCAACTATTAAGATCCTTTGTATCTCAGTGGTTAACATCCACCCAAAATACCTAATTTAATCACTTTTCAAATGGTTAACATTATTTTGTTTTAGTTAAAGAAATATACAAAAATATGAAAAACCTAAATGATCTCAAATAAGATATAAAAACCCAATCAGACTGGCCAATATTAACTGATATTTACCAATCTGAGTAGAAAATGGGATGTGGATTTGGTGATTTCACCGGTCCAATCCAGAACAGGGCTTATCAGAAGGTAACCCTATAAAGGTACCAATATAAACCAAGCTTATTATCAGGTTTTTACTTAAACTAAGAGTAGCGGCAGTAAGATCAGGTTTTTGCAGTAAGATCTGTGTGTGTGTGTGTGTGTGCGTGCAATTTTGCTACATAATGATGATAACTATAACAACAACAATGATAACAATCATGGTGCACATGACAGTTTACATGAGGATACTTTGTGTACATTATAATTCTACATTTCGAAAGAAATCCATTTGATCAGGCTCCTATTCTATGCAATGCTGCATCACATAGTCACATCAATGGAGAAATAGATCATTGGAAGTAAAATAACCAGCTTCTCTTACCAGTTGCTTTTTAGGTGCACGTGGAAGGGCGTCTCTCAGTTTAGCCCGAATAACAGCGGGATCAGTACCAGAGGTCACCTGGTCATTCAAGAGAATAAACAGATATGATAGTTGGAAGAGCACTTGGTTGAGACTCAAGCAACCACAATGATAAGGAAAAAGGGAACGAAAAGGTTAACAAAAAACAACTTTTAGAGTGGCATTCCAACCACGATAGAATAAGATGGTGTAAACATCTCAATCAATGATCCAATCAGCATTATGGGAAGCAATTCTTAAATAAAATACACAGAAAGTTGAAATCTTTATGAAGGGAAAAAACCATATAAGTAATGCAGTGGAATCACAAATTAAGTACAATGAGGCTTTTATGAAATGTATTAAATAGGATAGAAATCAGGTCCTATCTGGTCAAATTAGAGGCCAGAAATTCACTAGATTCAGAATTTGATCAATAAGATATGCCACCTGCTATCAGGTATTGTCTCGCTTCCAGGGATAATAGTAACCTTTTAGAGAGAAGAAAAGAAAGAAAAGAGAGGAAGCTAAATACAGGAAAAGAGGAAAGAGAAAAAAGGAAATAGGCAACTTTGTTAATCATTTTGATAATAACACAAGAAGACTACCAACATATCTTTATAAGAGTTATGGAGTCATCCCAAAAAGGTTCTCTGAAATATAACTCCAAAAATCATAAAAATTCAAATTTTGATAGGAAAATTACTAGACAAAGCTGTACTATAGGTTTTTGAATATCAATTGGAACTTTATTTGAACTCTAGAGACCACTTAAATTTGTCATTAGAGATGACAACTTCATCAAATTTGCTGAAATGTTTTCCATTTTAACACAGATGGTTGTCCTTATGGTATTATTCTTTTCTTGTATCGATTAGGGACGTCTCTAGTTCTTTTCTCTCACACTTTGGGGCAGCTCCAATGAAAAATAGTACTGCTGGATTGTCCATTATTTTTAACCAAGAAACCTTAATTTAGTCAGCCATTAAAAATAGGATTGGTTGACTAATCAAACCATGACCAACCTAGGTCAACTTTCCTACAAGTTCTTATACTAGTAAATGAACATGTCCAAGTTATTCTAGAGAGCAACGTGGCAAGATAGAGCCCCACACGGGATACTGAAACTGAACCGATAGCCAACCTACACATGGAACTTTGTTTTAAGGTCATGTGTTATTCCTCTAGCTTGGCCATTCATGCCTTAACCATGATGATGATGAGTCCAAAATCCATTCAATTATGTGGATGGGTCTGAAGTCAAGTTGTGTTGTCTAATAATTTATGTTCTAATGCGGAAACAACCTCTCTATATTTACAAATAAGGCCGCACACATTGACCCTCCCCAAACCTCACAGCGGCGGAAGTATATGTGCTCATGGGTACACCCTTTTTCTTTTATTGCCCAGATGACAGAACTAAAAAAGCCCAACTTAGTCCTTCAAAGTCACTTGACCATGATGGTTTAAGTGCAAAATAGATTTGTCTCACGCTGTTTATTCCTTGTGGACAAGGAACATACTGTACCAAATTTCCTTCCCTCAAGTGCACCTTGTTTCTGAAGTGGTAATTCAAAACCCCGTGGTACCCACACTTCAATTAATTCTTTGCTTCTTTCTTGAAAACATACACAAGCAGGATGAAAATATCACAAAGCTATCTCCAAATTATATGGAATTATGGATTGTTCTCCATTTATAGTGGTGAATTAAGAAGCATTACTGTGATGTATCGTAGCGATGGAAAGAATTGCATAATGCTCTTCAATGCAGTCAACACCATGCTGAAGCTTGTTTGTGTTCAATCCTAATGAAATTCAACTGAAATTTTGCAGTCAACACCATGCTGAAGCTTGTCTGTGTTCAATCCTAATGAAATTCAACTGAAATTTTAGCTTCGTACACCATAGAATCAAGCTTTTTATCTGTCATCATCCTTATGCTCCCTTCACATTGCCATTCACTTGGACATATTAGCCACTGTATTACTGACTGCAAAAGGCTTTGAGTTCAATTAGACAAATTTAAGTAATTTATGATTACTATCAATGCTACCATTAAATCCCAGTGAGAACTGACAACCTGTAGTCAGTTCTGAGTGACGAGCTTAAACTAAAAACAATAACTCAACCTAACAAAATCTAATTCTTATGACAAAAACAAGAATAACTACTAGATTGAGTCACAAAATGGAAACCGAAATGGACTAGTGCAAGATTATATCAAATGCAAACAAGTTTCATTAAATTTTAATATAAATCAAGGCTACATCAAAGGGGTAACACTAGATACTTGTTTTTTGCATTTTGCAGCAGATATAGGTGGCTATCTGGAGTAAGTTATTTACAGTTGATCTGACAGCAAATGAAAATATAATGAATGAGAACAAGTCTAATAAGATGAAAGCCACAGAAAAAGAAGTATCAGGTGAACCTGCCAGCATCCCAGCAGCACACCTGTCGATGTCAACACGACTCTATCCAAGACAATTTTCAGAGGGCACAGAACTTCTGCAACACCTCTTACAGTGTTTGCCTCATCTTCAATCTCAAGAAATAAGACAGACCACATCAATACAAGAAGAAATGCCAAATAAGCACAATAGTAATAATAAAAAAATTCCACATACCTCATCATCGGTTGCAGTTACAGGTGTGATATGATGGGATGCGTGAAACATGCTCGAGTGGTATATGCTCACATTTTGAAACCAGATAACTGAATATAGTGAAAAATAATAATGTCAGCTATATGATACCAGAAAATGTGAAGAATTCATAAATTAAATAATTAGTACTGAGAAAGACAATTGAACTCGAATAAACTGAAACGATTTGCAGGTTCAGCTGATGTTTTTTTGCAAGGAAGATGACACCAATTGCAGTGTCATACTAATGAAGAACATTTACAGACATGAAATTAAAATTTGAAGTTTCTTCTTAGTTTACATATATCATTTGTAGGAGTCACAAGGGCTGCAAAGTGCAAAAGTGGTATACAGTGCATTACCTCCGTTAAAATAGGGAAGAAATATCTCTCTAACTGCTTCCCTGCCACGATCAGTAAAATGAATAAAGCAAAGAATTTTTTTGATGAAAATTTAATGGAGGCTATATACACACACTCTCTGCAACAAAACTCTGTCAAACTGAAACTGAAACAAAACAGAGTTCTGTGAAACAAAACTCTGTGAGGCTATATACTCCAGGAAAGCCGAAACTGAAACAATAAAAAACAACGTTTCTGAGGATGCTAAAGACATCTAACATTCAAACAAACTGCTAGAAGAGACTGAAAACGAAAATTATTTTTATGTGTAGAATATTGTGACTAAAGTAACTCATTTTGTTTATGAACCTCATACTGCAGAAAATCTTACCATGTCCTCTAAGTTATGAGTGTTGAGTATACTTAATGCAAACTGAGATAACCATCTAAGTTCACCAAAAAGGATGACCAAGCACTTTTTATATATAGTATTTTGTCCTATCAAATGTTAATTAAAAATTGGATCTTACATTTCAAGTTATGTCTTTTTTAGAAGTTCTGGTATATACTTGTCCTCAAACCCAAGGCTTGACTCAGGCCCGTCCTCTTGTTGCAAGACCCTTATCCAGATGCAACCTAACAATAGAATGGATAGGGACCCAATAACATCACCAACTGGGAATTCATCTCATATTTGGCTTCTATACTACACTGCTTCTTCAGATATTCTATCTCTTAAAGGGACAAGGATGTGGATCCATGAAGTATCAATGTCCATAACTATATTATAAAACATTCCTCTTCACCTACAGATTAATTAATGCCTAGACAATACTTCAAACACTTCTCTATTTGAACCAATCATTTTAACACTACACAATCCTGTAAAGAAGTATCTCCAAATTTCAACAAAAGCAAATGAATAATTAACTAGAGAACATATAAGATAGATTCATAATTCTTTCTTATTTGCACAAGCAAGTCAGAGTGTATTTCAAAAGTTATTCTTGCTGGTCACAACAAGTTATTTTTTTCCTTTTTTTAAATGTTTATTGAATCGAATTCCAGCTGTCAAAATCCCTTCTTAAAAAATAAAGATTCAAAATGAGTTAAATAATGACAATATTTCGCATTTTATTGTGATTTGCTGACAATTGTGGTGTGACTGAGAAGTCAGAGCTACATCATTTGATAATTAAATCAGATATAATGCAGAAACCAGAGCTACAGCATTGAATTTGAATTAAGTAAAAAAATTAGGATACTAAGATCTCGCTAAAGCAGATATAATGCAGATATCTAACTTAGGTCTCCATAACAAATCACTAATATCATGCATTTAAAGTCGATAATACTTTTCCTTTTCTGGATAACTCCCCAATCAATAAGATAGTGTTAAAACCCTCTCAAGTATCTGAAAACTAAACAGACAGCTCATTTAACTGTAAAGTATTCTCCACAAACAGACTTCAGATAATGTGAGTATCACATACGAAATTGGTATTGAGTGTTCACTGTTCAAGTGAAGCACCGTTGCCCGAACAGGAGGGTCCGCCATCTATTTGAACAAAAATAATTATACAACAATCAAAGCCAATAGTGAAAAATAAAATCCTCAAGAACAAACAAAGTAAAGCGTCAACAAAGACTAATCCACCTTCAGCACCGGAGTAACAGAATCATTTTTCTGCTCAAATAGATCTGAAATCGACAGTGACTGTGAAGTCTCTCCGTGCTTCAAGAATGCTGCGCCGTGCTCATCCAAGTCCTTAGCCATCTTATCATACAAAATCTTCCGCCGCTCCAAGATCGACATCCTAGACTCTGATCCAAAAACATAAAATTATTTAATCGCGATACAATGATCCGTCTGTCCAAGTAACCAAATCGAAAGAGAAAACAAAAAGGGATTTCCCGATTCATCAGGAATATGTCCACGAACCCATTCGTTCGGTTCATTAATCCGTCGCACAAACTATCTCCACTGATGAAAGATTTTATATTGAAACAATTAGGGAAAATTATGGTACCGGAATCGGAGGATGTGACGAGCGCCCGGGAGGGATCGGAGCTCTCCAGGGAGATTCGAAACGCGAGGTAGACAAGGACGGAAACGGAGATCCAGATAACGGTGGCGGCGAGCTTCGATCGGCAGAAGAAATTTCGGAACCTCAACATTCGATCTTTCGCGTTCCTATTCTGAGAAGACCTCGAGGCTTCCAAAACTTCCCAAATGTTACCCTCTTCCACCTAGATATATTTGAATTCGACAGCGACGCTGCTGTAAAAGAAATAAAAAGACTCATTAACTACTTATGTTAACGGTTGCCTTTTTCTTTTTGTCATATGCATTAATTTTTATTCCAGTAATAAACATTTATAATATTTATCTATTCTCATCTTTAGTTTCCATCACTTTCTTTTATTTCTTCCCTTCTATAGTTTATATTATTATTTAAAAAAACAAAATAGTATTTTTTTTCCCCAAAAAAAAGTTGTATATTAATGGAAATTTATAGAAAAAAACTACATGATTTATTTAAACCTTACAAAATTCATCATCATCATTCTGCTTTTAGCAGGCGGTTCTCAACAAAAGATGCATCTATTCTTCTCCTATAGCTTCAATCACAGAGCGAACGCTTGGCGGTAGCGTATCACGCTGCGTGTCATAGCATCCCTAGAAGACTTATTTTGGGCTGACTCAGTGACATTGTGCAGCCTGGCCCAGTGAATCCGTAGTCTGTTACATTTACGACTCTTTTTTCCGGCGATTTATGTGAAAAGATTTGTAAATATTATAAATTATAACCACAAAGTCGTCTTCTTTCTCGTCTCGGCTCGGCTCGTCTCTCCTCCGTATGGTCGTACGATCGAGGTGTGGTTTGATGAGATATGGATTCTTTCACGATCTAATTTTCCTTCGGCATTTTCGATTCGGTTATCTTTGGATCGAACGGAACCAAAATTAGATATCCATTCAACCCTCTTTCTGTCACTCGATTTGGGGGAATTGATTGTTTTTTTTATGTGATGTTTCTGTTCTACAAAATTTACCTTTAATCAATCGAATCCGTTCCTTTGTCATCTTTTTTGTTGTGTTTGTTTCTTGGATGGAATCTATGATTTGTATAGTGTGCTATAGTTTAGTAGGAATCTACCCTAAATGCAGAGATAACTAGAGCGTGAACATTCAATTTGCGGGATCTAAACGGTTCCGCAGATCAAGATCTGTAGTGGTGAATGGAATCCCGCAGGAAAGTTCCCACATTGGTGGAGCTATGTGTTAACGAACAAATATACTGTTGCTGATGAGTCAGCGTGGCTAGGTCCGTCGGTCGATGTCGGGAGTCTTACGTGGAATGAGCTGAATGACGAGGTAGCCGTGCCCTCGGGAAGGGGTGCTGGTTAGCATCGGTCGGGATCCGGGCCGGTTGACGGCTCGCATTGGGGATGTCGGTCGGGGATTTCCAAGGTGGGACGTTCGCGAGCCGTAGGTGGTGACGCTTCCCTGCAAAAATGGCTTTCGTCGGATAGTTCCCAACTTTGATCCCTTCGACGATCAAGTCAGTAGTGGGTAGAATTCTTTTATTGCCCCCTCTGGCCGGAAACCAACCCGGGGCTTTATACTATTGCACGAGGGTCGGTAGCACGTCGATTCGACGTGGCCGCCGACCCTCGAGGGATGAGACGATGCCTCTGACCAGCCGCCGTCTCAGGGCGTGCAATGCCGCGTCAGACGGCATCGCCCCGAGCTCTCGGGACAGGACAGGTGGAACAGCTTCTTGGTACGGTTCTAACTTAGCGTGTGGCGTCAGTGGTGACGTGTCCGGGGTTCCAAAACATGTCGTATCACTATGCATGGGCACGGCGATCGCTAGCCTTAGGTACATCGAAGATGTTGGAGACATGGAGTTACACCTCTTGAAGGACATCTTACCTCACTGTAACATTAATGAGTTGACCCACATTGAGAACTCAACGAAAGAAAGTCATGCGTTGCTATCAATCCTCTTTTGAAATTCTTACATGGTCATGGTCTTCGTATTAATCTTAAGCTTTCTGAGTCACTACCATTGATAATTGATTTTACTATGGCATTTTAGGGAAGGGACAGATGACTCGTGGAAAAGATTCTATGAGCAACAATTTGGAGTGGAGAGTGCAAATACTGTGATCAACAGGATGAAACAGAAGAAAGTAGTATCTAAGTGGAGACTGCTCTATGAGGTGCTGCATCATTTTGCTAGGATTTTCTGCTCTTATTATAAGTGATTTTTTTGCCAATCTATAATTTTCTGGGTGAAGAAATAGAATCACTAGCCAAGAACCATGCCAACCACATTCTTGGCATAGAAGTTCTGCAGAGATTGGTAAAAGGAAATCTTAGGATGTCATGTCTATTGTCTATAAATTTATATTTCAAAATATATATGGCGTGTTGAATTTGCATGACTTGCTTGTAGGCAAAGCAAAAGGAAAGGGAAGAAGCTAAAAATAGAATGGCCAAGAAACTTGAACAGAGTTATGCAGAGAGTCAAGCTAGTGAGTCATCATACACTTTTATATTTTGTGCCTGTTAATTATATGTTCTGTAGCATGGAGTAATGTTTGAACTGCACCAACTGGTACATTGCTTAAGTTGAATAGCATCTAGCTTCAGAATGTTGCTTTCATCACAGGTGCATTTTCACTGTGGCAATACAAGTATTTAAGTCAAATAAATCAGATGTCTGTCTGCAACTATTGGCTGATAGGTGCAGAAGCACACAGTGTTTCATTTTGTGATTATGCTGTATAGGCTTCTTGCTTGAGTTTTTATAGCTGAACTTTTTCCCTATGGAAAATGTTGATTGTTTGAACTGTCAAATTATAGGGATTCTCAGGAATAATCCCAACATGGTGTCATAATAGCAGATTGTACATTTTGAGTCCTCAAGACATGTAATTTTCCTACTTTTTTTATAATTTCATGACACATGTCAGGCTCGAGCATTACCTGATCAACAAGTCGTAGGTTTGATTGAATGCTATCAAACAAAACGTGTTATATTTGAGGATAATTTTGGCATAATTATAAAAATCCATTTCTATGTATTAGCATAAGTTGTTCCATCATTTGTTAGTGGTTAAAATTTAATGTAGTATTTACATTTGGAACCAAACTCTCACATGATATGCATTTGTGACCAAGATTGGGCTTTGCCTAAAAATTGGTGGTATTGGTTTTGTTGTCTAATCTAAGTATTGTGTTTAAAGGGCCAATAGTGGCCTGCTCTGCTTATTGAAGCATTGGCCTTGGGGCAGACCATATATATGGCAGTTAAGATGGAATTCTAGATCATCATCATTAAGACTGCCTTATTAATATTTATTATCAAGAGAGAAATAGCCTTTTATCAACAATGTTTGAAAATGTTTGTAGATGTTTTGTAATTGTTACTTTTTGTTCTTTGAAGAGAAACAAAGTCGGAAAATCCAAATTTGTTCTAAAATTCCACCCTCAAAAAATAAGAGAGGCCACCGGCGAGGTAACTTCTTTATTCCTATGTTTGATGTGTTTTATTTTGAGGATTGTGAATGTCCGAAAAAAGTGAACTAAATGCTGGTTGCTGCAGTAACCAACTTTCCTAGATCACAAAAAACATATGATGTATATATAGTAGTTTTTCCAAATTAACATGTTTGATGACTGATTATAGGAATTGGACCGGGTAATAGCTTGTCCAATGTGAAAAGTAATCTGATGAAGGCGGCAAAATTGGAGTACTGTAATAGGTGGCTTGGGATTTGTTTTCTGGATCCAAACCTTATGTTGTATTAATTCTAATAAAGCTCAGTTATTTTTCTTGCCAATAGCCATGAAGCAAAAGTACATGCTCTGATGAGAAGAAATGCTCTGCAACGAAACAGCTTGTCACATCAAAGGTGGATCATTTTTTCTAAATCTGTCAAACCTTATATCTTTGTATATTATATTAGTTTTAACTAGCCTTTGGAGAGTTATTTAAAATCATGCTTTCATCTTCTGTATCAGACACTCTTCTTTCTTGTTTGGCAGCATCCCTCGTTCTGCAAAACAGAACAATATCCTTCAAAGGAATCCGGATTCAAGTTCCAGAAATGGAAAACCAGTGGCAAGAAAACAATTGCTTTACCTCATCTTTTCAGGGTTTCTCATGAGAAGGAAAACTTTGGTACCTATTGAGTTCCTACAATTTATGCCACTCTGTCACCAAGGTGCCTCGTTGGCATTAGTCTCTTATCGTCCTCCTGTGAGTTTCGTATCTCTATAGAAAGATCTGTGTTGACTATAAATATTTGTTTTTATAGCATTAGATTTGAGTTTTATCTCTCGACACTGTATCATGTGTTGTGGCTTCAAGTCACCTCTCTAACTAGATTACAGATTAGGCAATAAATTAGAGCTTAATGGCTATGTGATTACTGCCTGTCACAAAATGAGCCAATGATGAAGTCATGTTGGTAGAACATGTCGATCTTGATCTTATCTACTGCCCAAAGTTGACCAGATTGCTTTCGATTAGAATTTTTCGTATAAGATTTCTCGATAACTGCTGCTGGATCAAGCCAGCCACCGTGATGGATTTGATTTGAGCATCCAACTCGTTATGTACAGTTATGCCCTTAAACAGTTATGTACAGGTAGAGCTCTGTGGCAAAACCATTGGGTGATGGAACAAGAGAGATACACTGTCAAATGAGGAACAAAGAAACAAAGCGTTACAATTAGCAAAACCTCGTGGCCTCTTTGTAGTTCCTCTGCATGATGGGTTTCTCCCCCCGAGCTTTGGTTGTTTCCCTGCGGCTTCTCAATCTGAAAGCTTCAGCACCGGTTGTGAATGGGATCTGACCCTCTTCGCACTCGACGTTTGCTCGCGCTGTAAGGATCGACAGGCGACGGGCCGGCCGCAGGTTTCTTGCTCGCGTCAATGTCGACAGCATCAACGCTGGCGAGGAAGCGTTGGCTCTTTGCTACCGCGGTTTGCTCTTCGTTCCGCCGGAGAACGCGGCCTACGTTTCTCAGGCCGCACACCTGCTCTGGCTTCCAAGATGACAACAACATAACGCATAGAAGCACCTTAAGGAGGAGCCTACGAGTGTGAGAATCCATTGGTCCTCCCGTCAGCCACAGAGATAGGAGGCGCTTCCGGTTTAGAATTAAAAGGCAGATCCTACTCTTCATGTGCTCTATTCCTGTGGATACAGTCCTCCCATATATCACATACGGGGGTTTGGTCTAAAAGCATAAAGCTCAGTGACCCAAAAACGCCTAGAGAAATCAGATTCACTTCAATCATATATGGCTGCAACCGAAGCAAATCCAAGGCTGTTTTAGAAGGTTCTGTCAGGTATGAATAAAGAGATTGGAACACAATCCTCGGGAAGCCAAGTATCTTTCCGGTGGTTCCCTCACTGAGCAAGCACTAAAGGAGGGATGTGTGGGGGGAATAGGGCACCAGCAAACGAAAGACTAGCTTTAGAATTCCCTCTTACAACAACAAGGAAGCGCTCTTATCCATGCACCTCCAAAAACAATATGTATTGGTACTTAGTTTTTTGTGCTGAGTGAGTTTTCTTTATGCTTTTTTATTGCTGTCTTACTGCTGCAGCTATGCCCCCTTCCCCACTTCTCCTTTGGATTCCAACTCAACCCCCCCATCAATCACTAAAGCTTGCCTGTGTATCATCCATTAGTTCCTCCTGGCTCCCTAATTCACATTCCCTTTTCCTACGAAGAACATATTCCTCTCTTTCACTGTTCCTTTTGCATCTATTTACATTGCTTCTCATCGTCACATTCAACTGTTAGGATTCCTAAAGCACGAGTTCCCTCGCTTTAACGAAAAACTAAGGGGTGACAGCATGGAATTAAGATGGACTGTCACGCATCAGGCGTTTTGTGCTTTTCGCTTTGAGATAAAGCAAAAGAGCAACCGCAGCGGAGGTTGCTGCTTTCCGAGGCCGCAACACTATCATTTATCTGAACCACTGTGCTTCTGCAGTAAAAATATAATTTTGAAGAGATATATAGTCGCATGCAAAATACAGATTAAGTTGTTTTTTCGTCCAAGCGTGTCTATTTACTTTGAAGCAAAGCAAAATAGCAACAGCGGATGTCGCTGCTTTCTGAGGCCAGACGATTTTGAACTTGTTTGGATGACTATGCTTCCTCCATCAAAAATAATTTGAACAAATAATATGTTGTATGGAGGACTATTTACTTGGATATGGATATAAATCTGTCTCCTGTAGTTTCAGGAGACTTTGAGTGGGTTTTGAAAGAAACCACAACCACATCGAAGAGAGAAGTAGGAAAGAAGAGAGATAATGATATAGCCACAGGGAAAACAAGGAAATATCATGTTTTGGTCCTCTTTCTAGACTACATTTCTTGAGGAAGAAATTTCCTAAAATATTTGGTATCCCACTGAATATTTTTCTATCAAAACAGGCATAAAAGAAACAGAATCCTAGCTAAAGTGGGCACTTGCTTAAAGCATCGTAGAGAACGACAGTAGAACTACTGAGTGATCCACTAATTAGCACATCTAAAGGCCTCTTTCGTAGTCTGGTATAGAGATAGAGTTGATGGATCTCGGATGAACTTGAGGAGAAATTTGGATATGGTCTTAGAACCCTACAAAACAATTGTAAGTTTTCCTTGAATGTTTAAAACAGGACAACTTAGGAAGTTAGGAAATTGATGCTAATGAAATCGAAAAGATTGACTAAAAGAATAGTCACTCACATATGCCACATATTCATACATAACGAGAAAATCAAAAGAGGACTAAAAGAATAGTCACATATTAATAATAATAAAAAAAATTAAGAGAGTCATATAACATAAATCAGGTTTAGTCTACAAATTAACACGTTTTAGTTTGTATGTTGATTTGATATCCAATTTGACCCAAATTCCATCTGTTTATAATATGGTGGTCAAGTAAAAGAAAATAGATTCAACTCATAGTTTAATCTATTTATATGAATGAGGGAGAGATGATTGAGACACGCATGAGTAAGAGAAGATAAGAAGTTAATAAATAATCATGAGAAAATATTAAAAAATAAAAAAGGATATTACGATAATTTGTTTGCATTAATTCAGGATTCTTCTAATAATTGCTTATAATTTTCTTTGATGGTTGTTGATTCATTATTATGTGATAATAAAACAAAAACTAGAATATGTAAAACATATTCTCTCTGGCATTCTCTGGTATGGGACGGTTTAGTAGTTGTCCAACTTTATCAAGAAGGCATTCGATGATATAATCATCCTTTCTTAATTTGTTTTTTGGTGTAAGATCACACATTTTTCACTCTGATGATATGATTATTATTTGCTTTTGAACGTGGATTAGTAGTTTCATCGTGATCTCAATTTGTCTCGAGGGATGTGGGTGGATTAGTGTATTATTGCCATTTTTCTTCAAGTATAAAAGATGAAGGATGATTTTATTCTCATTTATGATTCTATTTTCTTTGAACCCAAAAAGCTTCAGAAATTTTCTGCCAATCGTCACAAGTCAAAGGAGCCATGAATGTGATGTATTGAGATGATCTCGAACAAATAATGGCCTTGGCTTGCTCGATGACATAAAAAAAAGTATGAACTAACATACATTCATGTATCGAAAGCTAGAGTAGTATTATCAAATGGTGCATGATGTAGCTTTGTCGCAGTGGAATGTGCATAATCTAAAATGACATTTTTCTTTTTTTATTCCCTTGTGTCTAACTAAGATCTTGCGTTTCCATGTTACTCTCTACTCGGATATCTAATCCTTTTAAGCGATGTTTTTGCTTGTTAATACCTATTTGTTTCTAGTAAAGGAATATTATTTGAAGTAGGCTTTAAAATCCTTTAAGCGATGCTTTTGGTTATAATACCTCTTTGTTTCTAATTAAAAAAATATCGAAAGAAATAGACTTTAAGAAAATATGAATTGTGTTATTTAACTCACATGTTGAATCCTCTCTCAGATCAAAACAAAACTTAAGAAAAAATTTTCAGCTCTAATTACGCTTACAAATATTATCCTTACAATCAAGATAAACTAATTCTTTTTTTTTTTCTAGCATGATTTGAAAGCAATACATGTCGAGTTTTTGATAACCTTCGTAAAAAACATATATTCTATCACGATATCTCATAGAAGTGAGCAAGACTCGCGCTCCTCCTCTCGACGATCTTTCATGCTTTTGCCTTCCCTCGACAACTAGTCATCTAATCTTCTATCTTCCTCCGGAGTGTCGATATCACCGTTACACTTCATCAAGATTAGTTTTTCTTCCTCATCGACTACCACATTCACATGGACATTCTCCCCATCTTTGAAATCGACCATCGGACGCATTCTGTGGTCGCCTTTCCGACCGTCAAACTCAGCTGAACACTGTGATCTATACCGATTGCAACCGACCCTCCTCCTCACTAGCAATGAGCGAATAATCGAAGCCCTTTGTCGTTGCTCTTTGAACTCTACCATCGGGAGTGATTTGCCTCTCATGCTTGTTCTTCGTGTTATGCTATCTTTGGTGTGTTAATATTTACTAAAAATTTTCATAGCTTCATTATTGACTTAGGCATCGGAGACATCATATCGAAAACTTCATTCGACTTTGGTCTTTATGCCTCTAAACCTCTTTCAACGACTACTGAGAGTATTCGAGACCCAGTCGATCATCGTAGAAGACTTCTTATATACACAAATTTAAATCAAGTTAAATTGATTTAGTTATCTTCGATTTATGCAAAGAGATCGATTTAATTATGATCGATATCTCTCAAGTCAATATCCAAATCATCCTCGCGTCTTCGAGAGTTACACCATATCCAAATAAACGAAGGCGAAGACCATTAAAATTATTAGATATTTTTAAAAAATAATTCCTAATACACAGATTAATACGTCACCCATTCATTTCTGTTCCACACATCATACGTATCGAAGCTTCCGACTTCGTATACGTTTGGTGGAGCCAAGCCAATTACTCGTCCTTTCTCTTTGCTCTACCTCGCCTCCGCCCTTATCCTTTCTCTATGGTTTCATCGCTCCTCCTCCGCCCACCTCCACCCTCGGCAGCGTTCCTGAGGCACGTTGCTACGACAAGCCCTGGGCCGCTCCTCTGGAGACCGGTAGGCGTTCCCACTCGCGGCTCCCTCCTTCGCGAGTCCAAATGGCTGCCGTTGCTTCAGAGCGGCGAGAAGAGGAGGCGTCTCTCCAATACCATCACCAACTCCGTCACTGCCTGCTTTTATAACGCCAATGACAAGCTCAAACCCGCCTCGTCCGGTGATGACGAGGTATTGTCCCTTCTTTAAAATCTAGGGTGATACGATCATTTTCGTCTTTTTCTAGGGTTAAGGATTCCTGTATAGAAAAAGCAAAAGGTTATTTGAAGACCAGAATATCTGAAAAGGTGCGGCATCAAATTACAGAACAATTTGTTCCCTTTTCTGTAATTTCTCCTTCACAACTTCCAAAAGTGCCTGATTAAATTTTTACGTTGAAATATCTATGTTCATAAATTTGAAGCAGAACAATCGTCATACTACTCTAAATATTATATAGGATTCAGAGGTGGAATGGTCTGTCCTTCGGCGATGGGATGTGCCATGGAGTTGGCAAACTGTTTCACTTACTATGATGGCATGTGGAGTAAGGTATTTTGCAAATGTACCCAAGTTTGGTTATCAAGAAATATGATAATTGCGTTTTTCCCATGGTTTCTCTGGTGGTGTTCACCATTGCTTCCAAGTACAAGTTGCTTGATCTCAAATTATTTACGGCAAGCTTGTCATACGAGTTAGGTTTTGATTTCCTTTTCAAGAAAATTGGTCGCCTTTACCTTTTCTTTAACCATGTTTCTCATTGATTGTCATCTGTATTGCATACGATTGGGAGGAAACAGAAGCAATCAATGTCACTTCTCAAGGATTTGATAACAATTTTCTTCTACTTTGCAACCATACTTGAAAGCATCTTCTATTTGTTCATATCTAACAACAGAATAAAACTGAAAATTTTCCAGACAGTTTTGTTCTTACAGGGTTGGTGGAGTCATCACTTTTGCCGTATCTAGGCTTCCAAGACAGGGAACTGAGTTTAGATGAGAAAGCAGAAATACTTTTTGCTGGCCAATTGTATGACTGTATATCCTTGATCCTTCTATCATATGTGATTTTTTATTTTCTGTGGCTACATGATTTTTTTAAGTTTTCTTTGGTTTCTTTCCCAGTTTTAGGAATGGTTTATCTCATTTGCATGTATTATTTGGGCAGTTCTGTAACAGCAGTTGTGCTGGGAGTGATCTATGGCATCACCAACACCTTTCAGCCACTTCCAGATGATGTGTTTCGCTATGGTGAGTTCTTGTGCATTTCTTTTTTGTCCTATTGTCATATTTATTTGACATCTAAAAAGAAAATTTCTCCTTTATAAGGATTTAATGGGATCTTTAAACCATTGTTATCATGTTAGCATTGCAAGCATGTAGACAATTTTTTCAAGAAAAATAAAAAAACAAATATTCCTACTTATGCCACCTACAATAATATTTGCAATGTGTTGATAGAGAACTTTTTCATTCTCTCTGATCATTTTTCACCTTTTTTAGTTATCTTTCCTTTTTCTTGTCTTTGTGTTTGTGGAAGACTTTTTTATTAGCAGAAATGTTTTTGTTGTGATTTAAGCCCCAACTTAAGTCATGACTCATATAGGACATGCATCACAAGAGATGGCCGTGACCTAAGTTGTGATTTAAGATGTAGCACTGCTCTTTGATTATTTGACAATACAGAAGAGGAATATGTAAAATGATGTTGTCTAATGACTACAATGGAAATCTCTTAGATTTGAAGGAACCATTTGATCTACGGGATGGTTGGCTTCTTTGGGCAGGAGTTGGTCTCCTGGGTGCATTAATTGCTATTGCACTAACAGGATTTGCCTTGAACATCTTTAGTGGTGAAAATCCACAAAGAGAGGTTAGATCCTGCCTATGGTCATTTGTTGTTAAACAATTTATTTTTTCTGTACAAGTACCTATTATCATTTTCTTTTAAGTTCTTACAACTGTTCAATATGCTTCCTGGTTGTCTTGTGTTTTTCTGGATTGGAATATGTTCTTTTGTTATAAACCAAACTCTCTCAGATCTGGTTGGTCAGTTAGCTGAACCATTAAAGAAAATTGATGGGTTTTTTTTTTTGCTATTTGTTATGATAAAGAATAATCAGTCAGTAACAAGGAAATATATTGGTAATCTTAGGGGTACATTTCATTTGTAGAAAAAGAGTCAAATGCATGGATCAGGTTATCTTGAATATATGTCTGACATTTTCACCTTGCCATCTTGGCCAGTCATGATGGAAGAGGTTCGAATTTTGCAAAACCTGATGGCACGAAGAGTTCTACACCTATTAATATAATAATCGATACAATTTTCCATCTTGAGTTCAATATTCCTGCATAGCATAATTACCAAATGCTGTCATAGATAATGCTGATAAAAGATTTCATATTTCCTAATTTCTCAAAGTTCATTTAAGCCACATATCACCCCAGATTATATATTTACTACCTTAAGTTGTTTATTAGTAGTTTAATCTGTAACTTCTAGACTATAAAAAAACTAACTTAATATTGTATTATGCTGTGGAAGTTTCTAAATTCATTGAATAATTTGGTGCAGACTGATGCTTTAATTCGATTGTTGCCATTGATTGGTTCTTCAGGTATCAGGTATTGTTTTCTGTCTCTATCCTGAAAACAGAAGATAATGAAGTGGCAAGATCCATGGCTAATTTTATGAAATTACTTTTTGTTGTAGCACTGCTTGTCTACTGGGCATTACTGGTGTTTTAGCCCCAGTTCTTGAGGAGACCATCTTCCGTGGATTTCTCATGGTGTCTCTAACTAAATAGTACATTCCATGTGCCAACAGTATATTTCTATTTATTTGTCAATTATAATTATAATTGTTGTTTGGGGCATTCTATAGTGTGAATTATTTATTTCTGTTTGACAAATTATTCCTAACATATTGGAGTCTTTTAGCTGTTGATGTAGAAAGAATGTCTAGCACATTTTTAAAGTAGCACTGAGATCTGAATTGGCTATTAGCGATCAGCCATCTCCAATTAGAGAAATATGGAATTTGCAAAAAATTGATAGTCAAGGTTCAAATCGAACAAGAGTTGACTGAATATATTGGGATTGTGACTTTGGGTTAGATCGGTGATTTTGGCTATTCTATGTTGATTACACCTAACCTTATCCCTCACGATGTGTGGTTGCAATCATGTCAGATTTAGGCTAAGATGCTTAAAGAAGGGAAGGGAAGAAAGGAGAGAAGTGCTGGGAAGAAAGAGAAGTGAGAGAGGGTGAAATTGGAGAAGGAAAAGGGAAGCTTGAGTAGAGGGGTAGAGAGCAGAAGCGGACATACTATGCATGCCACCACCCGCGAGCCATCATCTACCGCCCTTTAGGTGGTTGCAAACCACTGATTCATTGCTAGATCTTGAGCCTTGCTGATTGTAAATCACTTGGCTGTTGGCTCACCATCATCGCCTTTTCATATATCAGAGTTTTTAGTAGATGTTACAGTCGTTTATCATAGTTGACTCTAGACCTTCCTGTGTATGTCAAAACATGTTTTGAGATAAAAAGATATTTTACTTTAATTATCTTTTGTAAAGATAATACGTTTTGTGTTTTGATATATTAATATATATTTAGTTGTAATATGAAAATATAATATATCATGGCCAATCACGCATGTATGCTTAGTAAAACCAAATGGGTATTCCTTAAACAAGAAAATACTGTGTTTAATTGTATCGAGAGTATAAACTCATACTTCACTGCACTGAGTTCTTTTCATCTTGTGAGATTTCTTCTAGACAAGGTAAACTTCCCACTTCCATTATTATCTTATTTATATCCAAGTTAGAATAGAAGTTAAATCTTGTGCAGGGCACATACTAATATTGCAACCTATGTGTGTGACTTCACAGATGTTTAGAATCAGAGCTATATAAATTTTTCCGTGGGATCTTGGTAGCTGATACCCTATACCTGAACTTCGTTTAGTAATTACTGTGTTTTTTGTGTGCAATAGCATATCTATGCCTTCATGGTTCCTGAATTTCCATTGTTTATGCAGCTTGTCAACACCAATTTCTGTGATTATAAGTGCAGCCATATTCGCAATTGCTCATCTCACTCCTGGAGAATTTCCACAGCTGTTTGTCCTAGGTACGACTTTGTTTCTTTAATCAGTCGGCTGAGGTCCACCTCATTACATTAGGCAACAATGTGTAGCTTTAACTTTAATGTTTAACAGTCAGAGACTGCCTTGTGGCTGATCAAAAGTTCTATGTACGTTCATGATTACATTTGCTTTTCTGATTACCATTTTATGGAATAGCTTTTTAATCAGCAAGCTGTGGTCCACCTCATTAAATAAGGCAGCAGAGTGTAGCTTCAACTTTGATGTTTCCTCTAACGGTTAGAAAGTGTCTTGGGGGTTTATTAAAAGTTTTAATAAATGTTTTTGTTTAAGTCTGCATATCTGATTACAATTTTATTCAACTATGCTTTTGTAAGCCAGGGTCAATTTTCAACTAGCTAAATATTGCAGCACTCTTAACAAATGCAATAGAAAAATTATATAAATTTTAATGCATGCGGATTCTATACATACTACTGGAGAACATGAATAATATGGTAAATATATCTGTTTTTTCTTACACAAAAAACAATAATGTGGTGAATGTTTCCCAAGCTTTCCAGTTGACAATTTACTAGTATGTAAGCATGACTGTGGTTAATTATACAATCTGCTTTCATGAGGGTTCCCAACAACTTACAAAAACCAGAAGAAGAGGAGTAGCTTTTACAAGCTTTTTGAGCTTTTTTAGTTTTAGGATTCTATATTATCTTTATAAAAAATATGTGTAATTCTCTTGCGCCCGATAGCTACATAATATATCACATCAGTCATGTGTGCACTAATTAGTTTTATTCAAAATTCTTTATTTGAAAATGTGAGTTTTTTACTCTTGTTTCATTGAATTTGAACAGGGACTGCTTTAGGATTTTCATATGCTCAAACTCATAATCTTCTAACACCAATCACCATACATGCACTCTGGAACTCGGGGGTGATTTTATTGCTCACCTTTCTTCAGGTACACTTGATCGTTCCTTTCTAGATCTTCTCAATCTCCGTTGTAATTATTTTAGCAAATAGCAAACCATATCTTCATGTGTTATATATGATCTCTTTTGACATCGTAATTATTTTAGCAAATAGTAAACCATATCTTCATGTGTTATGTATGATCTCTTTTGACGTTCTCCAAATGATTAAAATATGAATGTATAAAACCATGCTTGCATGCGTTAATGTATCACATTCCTAGTTACCTGTAAGCCCCGTTTTTTCTGCTGCATACAGGTTCAAGGATACGATATCAGGGAGCTTCTACAAGCATCTTGAAGCGGTCTCTGGAGTACTGGGAGTGTGTAGCTACTTTGTTCATCTGGACCTATTTATTTTATTTCCTTCTTGGCCTGCTCTTGTATAGCAAGTGGAAGCAAAGGTATTTGGTGATCACTACTTGTGCGTGTACCTTTGCTGAACACTTGACATCCTGCTTAATATCTTATTCATGCTGGTGGTTTTAGAAGGTGTGGAAATTGAGAAAAGTTATATGGTTGGATTGGCTAGATTTTGGCCTGGTTGAGCAGAAGGCTGTCATAGAAATTGTTCTTTTATGATTTTACAATTAACAAAATCAAAAAACCGCATGGTGGTTTAGTTTGAACTAAAATTATCGAATTGTATCAATAAAGTTTGTCTTGTTTTGAGCTGAAGAAGCGTATACATAAAATTGTCTTCGATTGGTTGCCACATAAGTGCGTTGACATTGAGAGCTCAGGCCGCTGGGTGAACCTAATGGCTGTCGACTAATGATGGACGGAGTAGAACGCTAATGGCTGTCAAGTTGTTCGAGCGAGTGGCGACGTCGAATGGTCTAATAATGTCTTGTCCTATTCGCTGCCTACTTTGATGTAAAGTGGAGTACCAAAGATATGCTCGGCAACGATCCGGTCACTCTTACCCAACTTCCTTTGTATGAAGCAGCGATGCCTTTCGCTTCTCCAATCGTGCGGTTCCATGGACGAGCTCCGCCAAATCCACGCCCGCCTCCATTCCTCCGGCTTCGCCGGCGACAAGTTCCTCAACAGCGAGATGCTTCGCTTCTGCGCCCTCTCTCCGCGCGGGGACCTGTCCTATGCCAGCACGCTTCTCCTCTCTGCCGCTGACACCATGCTCTCCTCCTGGAACCATGTCATCCGCGGGTACAGCCAGAGCGACTTCCCGAGGGAAGCCACACTTGTATTTCTCCACATGCGACGCCGTGGGCTGAGACCCAACGAGTTCACCTTCCCCTTCGTGCTCAAAGCCTGCGCCAAGATCATGTGTCTCCTTCTTGGAAGACAAGTCCACGCAGATACGCTAAAGAATGGCGTGCATCCCGTCGTTTACGTGCAGAACGCTCTGATGAACCTGTATGGCTCCTGCAGGCGGATGGATGAGGTGCGGAGGCTGTTTGATGGAATGTCTCTTAGAACGGTGGTCTCATGGAATACCGTCCTGTCTGTCTGCGCTGACAACGCGCTGCCGGAGGAATCGATCGACATCTTTGGTCAGATGAGGAGTTGTGGATTTGAGCCGGATCAGACCACGTATGCAATCTTGCTCTCTGCAGCAGCTGAGCTTGGGTGCCTGAGCTTTGGAAGATGGCTTCATGGACAACTCATCGGAAGCAAATTGGTGCTCAATGTTCAGCTGGGAACCGCCCTAGTAAACATGTATGCAAAATGTGGAGCTGTAAGATATGCCAGCCGTGTCTTTGAGAGAATGGCGCTGAAGAATGTATGGACTTGGAGCGCTATGATTCTGGGACTCGCGCAGCATGGTTACGCTAGCCAAGCTATCGAGCTCTTCGATCAGATGGGGAATGCTTCGGTCAAACCAAATTATGTGACATATCTCGCTGTGCTCTGTGCTTGCAGCCATGCCGGCCTGGTCAACGAAGGGTACAGATTCTTCCATGAGATGGTGGAAGAACATCGGATTGATCCAACGATGGCACACTATAGTGCCATGGTTGATGTGCTCGGCCGCAAGGGATGTCTGCTTGAAGCTTACCACTTCATACGAAGTATGCCATTAGAACCCGATGCAGTTGTCTGGAGGACGTTACTTAGCGCTTGTCAGTTGCATGTTGCTAAAGATGTGACAGGTATCGGGAAGGATGTGAAGAGGATATTACTAGAGTTGGAGCCCAAACGAAGTGGAAATTATGTAATGGCTTCCAACTTGTACTCGGAAGAGGGATCATGGGAGGAAGCAGCTAAGGTGAGAAGGGTGATGAGAGAAGAAGGTTTGAAGAAGGTGCCCGGGGAGAGCTGCATCGAAGTGGGTGGACGGATCTGTAGGTTCATTTCAGGGGATGAATCTTGCATCAATTTCGAGGATATCTGCCAGATATTAGATGGACTGAAGTTGAACATGAAAATGCCCTACTCTTATCTCTATGGATTCTATTGAAGCTCCCATGTATGCTCGACGACAACAACTGGTTTGTAACAAAGCTACATATCATTGTAGATGAGTGATCATGGGGCATCGTCACAGATACAGAGAGATCCTGTGCAAGACATACAATCGTTAAGGATTAGCAAAGCTATAGCTTTCTTTGCTTTACATTTTACTAACGCATCTTCTTCCTCCAAAAACGCAAGTGTTCTTCACCGGTTGCAGATGATATCACGCAGAGACGAATACGTGCCAATTACTGCAACAAGAGATCCCACAACCACGATTCCCAGAATATTTACCAGCTCGAGTCGCCGGACTTGGGAGACCCCATGAATCTTGAGGTAGCATACGCATGGGAACAACACCGAGACCACCACGCTCAGAAAGGAGCCAACGAAAGCCATGAGGTACGCGAAGAAAGGAATGGCGAGTGCTATGACCACCGTGCCGCAGAGTAAGAGAGTTCGGATCAGGAGACTAGGCATCTTCCCCGGCATTCTCCCTCGGCAAAGTGCCAGCTGTTGTTCGATTGCCCCAGAGATTGGAGACATTGCCAACGCAAACTTGGTAATAGGATTTATCAGTGTCGTATAGATTGCGATCCTCGTGTAGGGCTCCCCGGCAGGAAGATTGAGTGTCACCTGGGACTCCAGCTTCTCACCATACATAAGGTATCCCAGAATTGCCATCAAAGCATAGTTTATAGTACATAGGACGAACGAGATTGATACCACCTGTGATGAGCCAAGAAGAAAGGTTCAACACGACGATAACCAGTGCGCAGGCAAGAAAAGAATTGAAAGTTCCCGCACTTACCTTGGGAAACCGAGTGCTGTCTCTCATCGAAGAACTTATGGTAGGAAATACTGCGTGGCAAGTGAAGCACATGAAGAACAAGCCCATAGCAGTGGGTAATCCATTCAGGTCCAGAATTCTGCCCTTCTCGTGAAACCCGGTGTCAACGATGCCTGCCCAGAGCAAGGAACCGAGCAGAACTGCCGATGCCAACACTCCTCCTGCGGAGACATAGGCGAGAATGCCCAAGTTCCGTGGCCATGTGGTAGGAAGAATCACCAGTGCAGACAACAAGATGAAGAGCTGCTTCCCCTGCACGCTTACCGACGCGAACTTCAAACAAACGCCGGGAAACAACTTGTCTAGGTTGTCACCTTCCATGATCAGGAACCCAACTGCGACGAGGTAGAGCTCAAGATACATGAAGATAGAGATGACAAGCTTGCCTTTGCGCCCGAAAGCATACTCTCCGATATCGGGATAGGTTTTGATGCACGGATCAGCATCCATACATCGTTGAATGAGAAGGCCTGTGTAGTAACAAATACTCGAAACAAGGACAAAAATCGCTAAGCTTAGCCACCCTCCGAGAGAGAGCGCATAGGGCAACGATAGCACGCCAATTCCTGCACATGAAACAGCAACGGATTAATTAATGGCCCCAAGTTCTTATATTCTTAGCAGAAGATTAAAGCTAGGACTAGAACTTGCACTAATAACAAGCGAGACAAAGGAGGGAGAGCACAGACCCGAGAACAGAGAGAGAGAGAGAGTACCTGAGATGGCATTGCTGAGATTGAGACAAGTCCTGGCGAAGGAAGTGCCATGTTTGGTGTCACTTGTTCTAGACGAAAGAAATCCGTCGTCACTGTGAGTTTGGAGGAGGGATTTCCTAAGGTCGGCAGCATCATCTTCTTTAATGACCACTACGAATTGTTCGTTGGGGTCTGTCATCGGTAGTAAGAGTTTACCTTCCTTAGACACACTCTACTCGATATATAGGACTCCAAAACCGCGTAACACACGTGCAAATCATTTTTTTTCCCCCAAAGGTAAAAAAAAAATACTATGTTAATTCAGAACACAAATATTGACTCTGCTACGAAGATCAGCAAACGAAAAACGTGAACAATTTGCTAGTTAGTCTCTTTTCCAAACAAAATGCCAAAATGCAGACCATGATCAGACTACAAATAGATTTTATATATATATATATATATATATATATATATATATATATATATATATATATATATATATATATATATATACTATGTTAATTCAGAACACAAATATTGACTTTGCTACGAAGATCAGCAAACGAAAAACGTGAACAATTTGGCAGTTAGTCTCTTTTCCAAACAAAATGGCAAAATGCAAACCATGATCAGACTACAAATAGATTATATATATATATATATAATAATAATAACAGCACTGAAAATACACGAGGAAATTATGGTGAGTCATCCATAATTTTCTCAAATTCCATCATGTGAGTAAAGTACAACGCGTGCACATTTCCATGTGTATAACGAGGTCGGTCCGCCGGCAACTTTGACGAGGTTGTGGTAGAAAGGGATACTATCATTAAACTGACCTTCTACAGTAAAATTCTGCCATGCTGTAATGTGTACCCGAGTATTGAATTCTGTCGATCCATAAGTGCTTTCAGACTAGGATTTCTGGTCCACATTAGCTCTAGAAATCATAAAATATTTGTCAACTCTTAGAATAAAGTGTGAACGTTATTGATTGGCCGGTCTCTTTAGGTTGATGCATTGATGATTGATAGATTTGTGTCCGTGCACAAAACAGCCTTTGTGGGTTGATAGATTGATGATCAATAATTGATAGATTTGTGGAGGTGAACAAAACAGATGGTTGTAGGAGAATTGCCTCCCTCTCTCTATGATTGATCCGTCATTTTAGGTTAATAGATTAATGATGGGTCGATTTTTGTATGTCCATAAAATAGTCTTTTTAGGATGATGGATTGATAGATGATTTGTGTAAGTGAAAATATATGGTCGTAGGTGAATGCCCTCCCTCTCTCTCTCTCTCAATCACCATACCACTGCACTTGGTATGATCTTAATTGAAATTTGGAAACTCTGTGAGGGCTCATAGCTTGATTTTATATTATGCTGGAATTTGATTGGTATAATCCAAACTGGATATGTTTTTGATGTACCGAGTTTGAGCTATATTGAATTTTACTTGTTTCACAAGAATCTAAAAAACAGATAAAATTTAAATAATTAAGCATAAATTTCATCAACTATAATACTACCTCAAGCTTTGGTACCAAATCCATATAAAAATTTATTCTAATAACAAATTGATAAGATTTCTTCCGGACAGCCTTCTTTCTCTTCTCTGAAAGGTATCTTGGAAGGGAGAAGAAATCGAGAGGAAAACATTAAACAAACAAAAAGATTGGGATAAGATGAGAAGAGAGAAGATCCACTCAAGAAGTATGACGTGTAGACTCTGATAACACGTCACATTCATATGCTAATATATCTAATTGATTCCCAATTGCACAAGCATGAAAACATGTTGTCAACAAGGATGCCGATTCTATATTATATTACAGTCCATTCAGTTGCGACAATAACTGGCGATCGTAATGTCTGTCTGAATGAGCTGTTAACTCATGATTGCAACATCAATGATTTGGCGGACAATATCATCGGTCGATAACATGTGAGCAATCTATGTAAGCATTCCCAACATTAGTTAGTGATTATCTTGGTTTAATGGTCACCTTACTACACACTATAGTGGCTCATTCATGTGAGCCACAATCTCATATTCTTTTATTACATTTTGGAATCATATTAATTTATTACTGATTTAAATATCGGATAAGCTTTGTTCAATGTACTCCCAATATAGTTTTTTAGGATTGTCAATTGAATCCTCAAATCTTGATACCTCTATACGGAACAAACACTAAATTGAACCTTGATTGGGCCTTCTCGTATGTTTGATAATCAAATTTTACTTTGAATGAGGAGTGATATAAATATTATATTTATAACTTCAATATTGATTTGTTTATTATACCTTAAATATCGATCTAATAGTATATGAGATTCACTTACCAAAAGTTTAGTTCAAAATAACTTTCAAGAGTGTCAAAAGACTTCGATGGCTTATCAATACATACATACATACATATAAATATAATTATTTATCTAATTTAATCCTTTGAATAAAGAACGAAAAAATGTTCACAATCATAAATATTAAGGAAAATGATCACCACAAAATTCATTGATTAGAAGACCATAGAACTCTTATAATACGAGTCTAATTTGTTAAATAAACAACCTGTTATTATATCTATATTAGGCTATCGAGTATTAAATTAAATAGAAGTAAGATTCGTATCAAAATTTTCTTTGACCATAAGGACAAAAAGTACTTGAAATTCCTATTTTAACTATCAATAGGCTAAAAAGTTAGTCTTGACTTAGATATGGACTTAGACGGACTTTAGTTCATTCATCTTTTAGCTTAGTCTAGATGTCGTTGGAAAAATATGTTGAAACGAAATATTCTTTTTCCTCTTTGTATATCAAGATGGGTTCCTCATCAAAATACAAACTTGATATCCAAATGAAAATATCAACCAGCACAACATAAACAATAGAGAAAAAATCAATCACACAGTGAGACCAAATATTTTAACGTAAAAAGCCCAATGTAAGAAAAACCACGGGACCGTAGTCCACTTCAAACTTTCACTATCAATAGTAATGATAACAGATTTACAATAGATCATAATAACATCAGGAACATAAATATAAGTTCTAGCACGATCTCCTCAAAATAGAATTTTAGATCTCACGAAGTAGATATAGTAGGAAAGTATCTTAGAGAGAGTAAACTGTAGATCAACACCGTTAAGATTATAGAGTTTACTGCAATGATTTTCCACATAAAATTTGGATCGAAATTGATAACATTTGGCCACCTATCATAAAGCAAAAAACTTAGAAATCTAATCTTTTTCTCTCTCTTTCTCTCTCCTCTTTTCTCTGCATGCCGCCGGACGCTGCACGCTCACCTGCACACACGGACGCTGCCCTGTCTAATTTTAGACATTTCTCTCTTAATTATTGATTTGGGCTTATGGCCCAAATTGTCCAAGCTGGCTGGACCCAACAGATGTAAGGATTAATCAATTGTCGATCTCGTAAATGTAACAGGGCGAAGTAACAATGCATAACCCTATCTATCTTCTTCCCTCTTTTCTTATTTTCGCTCTCTTTTCTCCCACTTTGATTTCTTTCTTTTAAAAGTATACTTTCTTCCCACAAACAAATGAAAGACAGTTGATAGGAACGTGTAATTCTATTAATTTGAGATTGTGATAGGAAAAGTGGCTAGGCTGACATGTTGGTGGTTTTTTTTTTTTCGGTTAATATGTCAATACAGTATGATCGACACATTTATAGTATATCATCGATATGATAAGACTATATAGTCAATATGCCGGTCATACTTAACCAAAACTTGACTCCATGTAGTCGATACATCAATGTCATGTGTTCGATGACTCAACTCACGTGACAAATATTTATAGACCATGCGGTTGACACATCGATACTATATGGCAAACAACGTGGTATTAAGTGATTGATAGGTCGGGTATATATAATTGATACTTCAGTATCACAAGAATAAATCCTGGGCCTTGTGGGATGACATGTTAACAACAAACGAATTCCACGTGATGAGCACATTAGCTTCCTATGATTCCATGTTCTCTAACCAGCTAGTCGCCCTCCATGTGTTAGAAAACTATGTAATCCTAAGTTCAACGTGTGCTAGTGATAGTTACGATCGAAATCGACACTCAACATTCGCACGAATGATGCACTATTCAGAGGTAATGACGTTGATCACCCACTGTAAAAGGGCCCCACAGATACATCTTAATACATAAAAATTAAAATTCTATTTGATTTATCTAACTTATCTACTTATTTAAGTATTGGAGGGATATCATCGAAAGTGTCTCGAGATTCGAATGACTATAAGAGAAATTCAACTTGAAAGTAGCTTCGAAGAACGATCTGGATCAAATATCATTTTAGATAATTAAAAATTGATCTAACATGTATGAGCTTTAAGATGCTGTTGATTTGATTAGATTTGAAACGAAAAAGTTGTTGATTTGATAGAGTGAATTATTAAAGAAGATAATAGCTAAGAGATTTAAGATGAATCGATTAAAAAGCTTCCAAATGTATTATCACCTTTGGGATAAAAAATGAGACTTTGGGGAAGTGCTATGCTGTAAAATTTCATATCCTTTTTCATCGGTCATGGAGCTCATAATAAGCCAATGAATCCGTACAAATTTCCATCGGGTTGACAACTCCCTCGGTGAGAATTGACGAATAGCCCGAAGGGGTCACATAAAATGCCTCAGGCGATCAAATCTGAGGGGTCCCAATGTCACATCGACGCCCCAATTGTTTATGCATTGATTAATAGATCGACGGGATCAACTCCGAGACGACTGACTGCCTCTCCTCTCATGACCCCTTCGGCAACCCAAGCTACCGTTAGCCGCCCTCCCCCCCAATAGCTGCCCAAAGTTGTCATTTGGTCGGTCAATAAAAGCTTAAAAATATTTATGTATATGAGATAAAATACGTTAAGAGGATAATTTCACATGAATAAATTTTTTTAAAAAAGAGAGTCAAATTACATATATTAGATCTAAAAAAATTAAAATTTTTAGATTAAATTAATATATGTTCTTCTTATATTGCATCGAGAAGTTAATAGCATGAATGAAGTAGAAGAGATCCTACATGTATTGTATGGGCAACAGTTGCTGTGGCACCGTGGTGTCCAATCCAATCACACAAAGTCGCATTATTACTAGTACTCTGGACGAGCCCTCGTGGTTTTAACGCTAATGATGACATGGTTGTACTGGTCGGGCCCCCACACCCCCAACCCTTGTTTTTGCCTCTCCGAGTGCTATATGTGCATGGTTTTCATTCAACGCCGTGGCTGCAACGTACGACTGTGTTAAGCCCCGGCGCAGATCGATTTGGCTGCTTGCTGCTTGACTTATAAGCACTGCAATTATGCATGCGCGGGATGGAAGATCAACAAGCATTGGGATTTCATCGTCACTTACACAATGGGTTCAGATTGCATGATATAAATATATATATATATATATATAAGCTAGATTTCTTATTCATTAGAAAGCTAGATAGGAAAAATATACATAACAGCCTGTTGGCTGAACTGATTCAGCTACAGAGATGATTCGTCGGGAACGTCCAAAATGCCTGCCTGCCTGCCTTCAGTACGTGGTGCGAGGCTTGCTGGCGTTGGGGGTCTTTTTTGGAGTCGGGCACGCGTTGAGGTCTGTGATGTTATTGATCTTGGAGTTGGCGTTGGATTTGGCCAGCTTCTGTTTCAGCTCGGACAAGAGTGCCTGGTTCTCCTGGTTCAGGAGCTGCGCCTTCTTCCTTAGCCTCTCGTTCTCTTTCATTATGTAACAGTTCTCCCAGAACAGCTTGGTGTTGAGCCTCTCCATCACTGGCAGATCTGCGGGATTCGAGAGAAGTGTTCAATTCGTTGCGCTTTTTTTTTTTTTTTGTGCCGAAAAGAAGAAGATGTCAGCATGTAAAAGAGGAAGACGAAGCTCGACGCGAAACCCATCAAGCCAGCACATCGGAAACTGAACCCTTCGAAAGCAAATTTGCATTCGAGAGAGAGAGAGAAAGAGAGAGAGAGCATTCTTTATCAGAGGAAATTTAACGTATCTACCTACCTATTGTACCACAAGTTGAGGGCAACGAAGAGACTTAAGTTTCAGCAATGACAAGTACGATCAGAGCGATCTTATCAACAACAACAACAACAACAAAAAGGATTCAATCGAGGCACTCTCATTCTCTAAGAATAGATACGACCCTACGTGTCTAGACATAAACCACTTCTCTCCGGAAGAAAAATCTCCTCTGCTTCCCCACCATGGAACGCAGAAAAGGAAACCGAGAAAGCTATCCTGGTCGACCAACGCACTAACCTAATGAAAGAAAGCAAGTACGAACATCGATCGATCCCTCGGTTTTAGAAAGCATGAGTATTAGCTAACAAGATGAGAATCGCATAGACAGCTTCCTTTTTCTCAAGTGGTCACCTTTCAGGTGGCTGGACTTGAAAGAGACGGAGAAATATAAGAGTCGCGACGAGTACCTACAGGCTAACTGGAAAGGAAGGCCTTGTTTGCGTGGGGTGTGTTGCGTGTGTGAAGGGACTATTTATAGTGAGCAAGAAGAGGGAAGGCAAACACCCCCGCGCCCATGCGCAGTGCCACGACGACACAGGCAAGTGAGCGAGGAGAGCGACCGGCGGGGGAGAAAGCAACGTTGAGGACGCGGAGGTGGGGGAGTAAGGGTGGCATCACGTGATCCGATTGTGGGAATTCAATTCAATTCAATTCAATCCAATCCAATCCAACTCATTGAGATGTCACCCCGCATGATGATGGTTCCGTCGGCCCAAAGACAAAAGAAGATCTGTAATGATGGCGCTTCCAAAAGGGGCCACCTCCCTCCATCATCACCATCCCCCGCATTCCATCGATGCTCTTTTGTTTTTTCCCATTATTACGGTTTATGACTTTATTGTTACATTTATTATCGATCGACTCAGCTTCTTTCTCCCTCATGTAGTTTTACTATATCCATCTCGCTTTCTAATTTGACGCAAGGATGATTGGATCTGCCTTTATGAGTTGGTCAGAAACATCACCATTATACCGAGTGAAGAGTTCTAGATTTGTCTCTGCTCGTATAAGGGTGCATGTAATCCGAAGATTAGATTTTTACCATGTTTTTTTTTTGACACCGGGAAAGTGGTCATCTCGCCATTTATCATTCATTAGCTTCAGGAAAGAACCGAGTGAGAGATGCAAGAAAGGAAAGAAATCGTTCACTGGCTGCACGTGAAGATGCAAGAAACACAGGAGTTGTTCTATCATCTTGCTGATATGCTAATCGTATAATAGGTAGGTATTTGAGTCAGAAAAATATGATCGATACTACATTATAACAATTTATAAGAACATACCATGTAGCAATAAGTAACCCAATCGAACCAGCGATTCGGATCGCTGTCGAATTAGATTATACGGTGGTAATTGGTGAACCCGGAAATATAGGTACCTGCTGTTGCTTGTGCCCCGTGTTTCAAGGAGGAGGTCCACGAGTTGTTCGAAGCTGATGCCTTTTTTTTCCTTGTTGACGAATCCTTTCTTGTCGGGGTTATTTTTCTCTCTGTCACTTTTGTCTCTAACGATCTCGTCTTATCAACCCATCTCTTCTTACTCTTATTATTATTATTATTATTATTATTATCCTCGAGATATGTATGTTGGTAAAAGCTTAATCAGCGGTTGAGACGGCAGCAAAACATTCGGTGTCAGGTAAAGTTATATCGCTAGGAAATATGATGGATGTGCATCTTTATGCTGCAAGTATTGTTCGACTCTATGTTGATTTATCTTTAAGATATGTACGTCGCTAAAAGCTTCGTCTTGTCAGGTAAAGTTATGTTGATGGGAAATATGATTTGTACGTTGATATCATTTTACAAAGGTAATTTAACTTTTCTTTGTTGTTCCTTTTTATGGAAGACTGGTAAAAGGATACCATCTTAATCTCAAAAGCTCTGATGCATCATCCGATGGTGGATCGGATGGCTCATGATATCTACAAAAAACATTTGCGTTAATCACTGATGTTTTGTTCAAAGCAATCAATCACCACCAGTTTTGAGGATCTTCCCACATGCCTCGTATGGCTCCAAGCAAAGCTCGAGTGCTTATATATGTCATGGCGGCAGCATGCAGGAGATGTCTCGTATTCTTCGCCACCGAAAGAGACTCTTAGATAGCTAGCTCCATTTGGCTCATCCTTGGTTACATAAAACGTATGGTCTCCGACTCATTTTGGGATTGCTGCAAGGGATGGAGAGCTTTCCATAGACGTGGCAGAAACCCTAAGAACGGAAAGGACATTTTCTTCGTCTACTACGAATGCATGCACGCATTACTTACATGGTAGGATCCTGTTTTAGTATAATGACATTGGTAGGATTTGATTCCATGAGCAAGAAACCCTGTAGGTGACGGTCTCGTGAGAAAAGAGAACTGTGTGTTCATCCATCAAGGACAGGGAAGAGGGGGGGGGTGGGGGGGTGGGGGGGGGGGAGACAACCAGGTGCATGCAGAGTTGCAGAGATAAAATTGCATGCTCAGAGAGTACTGCAGCTGCAATCGAGTGAGTTGATGGCCCACCCATAATGAACAACAACACACCCCTCTCCGTATATGAACTCGGGCAGTAACACGCCTACTAGGAGTGATTCATTGCCCTCCGCAGCGGCCAAATCGCGTTGACACATCATGGGCGTTTTGAACGCGGTCGAGAGCAGGGAAGAAGAAGACAGGCAAATCATAACATGGCAGCAGAAAGCTCAGTGGGACTGCCACTGTAGAACCCCACGGAGCTTTGTACTGAGTCCAAAGTATAGGGCAGGAGAAGTTACTAGCGTCACATGGTCTGCATCAGTAGTGGAAGCTTTTCTCCTGCAGCTAAACTTGCAGGAGGGGGAGGTAGTCCTTTGCCGAGGGGTCATCCATGAGAACTTGCACTAATAAATCCAGCCCAGATCGATATATAGGAAATTGCAGGAGCGGAGGAACGAGGACCACTCCCCATTGTTTCAGAAGCTTAATCATTTACGACCTTTCGAGGAGGCATGGTGTGGTACGAGTACGTAGCCACTTGGTCAAGCCCTCTTATGATTGCCATGCCATGTTATTTACTCGGTCAAGTCCTTCAATGATTGCCATGCCATGTTATCAGGGCTGGTGCTATGAGACTTGTGAAAACTCCACCTGGTAATGCGTTGTTACATCTTAATTTCACAATCGCCCAATTCTTTTTCTCCACCAATATTTGGGTTTTGATTTCAATCATGATATTGTAATTAACAACTTAAGATATGAAGATTTATGTTCTTTATTGATATTATAAGTCAAGACAAACTAAAGAGGATTGCTATTGTCGATGGGGAAAGAAATTATAGGATTGGATGGTTTTATAGTCACTGGAAATTGGGAACAGACCAATCGGACTTGATGAAGCTTGATCATGTCCAATTACATCGGAATGAGAAGGCGAGAATCGATTGGTATGTTTGGATTATAAGAGCATAAGGCCCTCACACCTACAAATCAAATCAATTAATGGAAATAGGATGCGGGAGAAACAATCGAGAAAAGAGAGAACAGAAGACTTAAAGATCCAAATACGAAGAACAAGATAAGGAATTGGAAATTTGGAATGCCCAAGCGACAGGATTCATGCACCTATTCTTGTAGAACGACCCTGGATGATGCTGATTTGACTCTTGGTTCTTCGAGTAATGTTCGTTTAAGAATGGTAAACAAATGAATGTGGGCAATGGATGTTCTCAGAATATGCTGCCACTATGAGTATTAAATGATGTTCGTCACTGGTTGATTTGGTTGAACTGACTGCAAGCTTATCTGTATAATCTATTCCAAAGCTACCACTTGTATGCATCGTGATCTAAAGTGGATGGCGCATTAGAGTTTGTGGTGTGCCTTCGTATACACTTTCCTCTTTTAATTTATTTGGTATCATTACTTATCGTAATTCCTCTCCTTCTCCAACCCTAAGGTTTTACAAACATTTTAGCTATCTTGAGAGAGAGAAGACCCTGAAGGATTAAATTAAAAAATAAAAAAAATCAAAAAAATTATGTGATTTGATAATCCTTATTTAGATCTTGAAGAAAATCAATTTTTTTAATAAATATATCCTTTAAATTAATTCAAACGTTACCAACCACTTATACATCCTCTTATATAAACCATGAATAACTTTTATCTCCATCATCTCTAGAATAAATGAAATCTCGGGACACTAAAAGTATATTCCTTTATGCCTTTTAAGACTCGAGACATCCTTGAAAATAAATTCACTATGAATTTTTTTTCCTACTTAAATTCTTAATTTTAATAATAATTCTAATTCTTTGAACAGTTTAAATATAATTAGAACTATTGAAATACTTATCGATCCTAACAAGATATGCTTAAATTATTTATTTATTTTTATTTTATAATTTATTTATAATTTTTAAATATTTTAAATTTTTTGATCTCTTTCAAGATGATTTGGTAGATATGATCATACCTAATTCTTGTAACCAAAATATAAAATTAACTTTCAACTAAAGTGAGGTTGCTTGAGCTGTTAGGTATGACATCCAAATCGGGTGGTCCTTTTCATTTGCATTGGTAAGTCAGTAGGGAGAATAAACAAAAAGTAATAGTAATAACAACCATAAACGCCTACAGTTCCTATCCGATGAAAGAAAGCTCCGTCCACCACACCGCTGTTGCAGACGAAGCTATACATTCACTGCTTAAGTCATCTATATCGGAGCATATTAATGATAGCGCCTGATTTGATTTGATAGGAGTTAAATCACAAGAAGAATCGATCATAAGGCGTAGCGTTCTCGAATTCTTTTTTGATTGGCTAATCCTATCCTAATTTTATAACGATGGATGTAAGTGTACGAGTCCCATCAACTTCAGAACCATCCGACTTCGTTTCAGCGCTTCAAGATTCGGGGAATTACAGATCGAGTGGTACCGCATATGACATCGTCATCGGACGAAAGCTAATCGGCCACATCATCGTTCTCGCCACGTCAGTAATTTGCAGAGCGCCGCAGTCACCGAGAACGTCTGCTTCCAAGCGAAGAGGCCGTTGGATATTCGCCAGCGGCGCACTGTCGTTATCAAATCGATCTCGGCCGTCGAGCGAGAAAAAGACAACACACGAGCGGGCACGCGTCCAACGGTCCCGCCCCGCAGCCAGAGTTGCAAGTCCACGGTTTCGCGCGTGGCCGGCGTCGCCCTCACACCGCGAAACAAACGGGTGGCCGTGCTGAATCATCAGTGAGAAGTGTCACGGGTGGTCTCACCACGCACAAGTTGAGTGAGGGTATATTCGGCCACATCACGTATGTGAGAAGTCCACATCAGCCCTGGATTATCGAAGGCTGCCTCAGCCATACAAAATTGTCGCCTCCGGTGACTAGCGCTGCTTATCATGAGCTGAAAACACCCTTCATCTCCGAGCAAGAAACAAGCACAGCCGAGCCAAATCCATCCGCAAGCTAGGCAACGTGAAACGAGCCATTCCTCCCTCTGACCCTTCTCCGGCAGGAATAGTGGAGTGATATAAAGAGAAGGG